GGGGAATTCCCATAGGTATGAAGACAGACCACCAGTCATAGGGTGTAGATTGCACCAGGATGAGGCTGTGACAGTGACAGAAGTTATAAATCAAGGCATTAGAATGCACAGGCGGGTGGCCGGTTGATGGGAAATGTCCATGCAGACAGAGGTGTCTGGAACTTGGGTGGTGCAGGCTGGCGCAGTCCGCAACTGTCGTTGGGTACCATCATAAAAGAATAGGACTATAGGATTGCACACCCCTCGGACATAAGTTATCAATTAAGAGTTGCTTTTAGATGGAGGGAAGTATCAAGTTAATCATAAGTACCAGAGTGTAGAAACAGTTCATAGCACAGATGTAGAAATAGATGTTCCTGGGAAAGAATCTCTAGAGATGCTATGACTAATTCAGGGTATAATAAAAGGCGCTCGTAAGTGGGGACTAAAGATAACTCAGCCAGGCAGAAGAAGAAGACAATCAGAGAGAACTAAGCCAGGCAGAAGTAGAGGACAATCAGAGAGAACTCAGCCAGAGAGCAGTAGAGGGAGTCAGAGGACAGAATGCATTCAGAGAAAAGAGATGGTAGTTGAGGGACAGAATAGATGAGGGACCAACTGGATGAGAGAGAGATGAGCCATGGCAGTCAGAGCTGATTACCAGATGAGTGAAAGTGAGTCATAGTAGCAGATAAAGATCAAAGGCTGTTACCTGAGCGTTGCAATAGGAGGGAAAAGGAAGCAAGTTTTCCCAACCAAACAAAGGAAATAGACAGCAGAAGCAGAGCTAAAATTAGTGAAGGCTCTCTACAGTAGCAAAGGGAAGAACAAGATATTTCACACTGGTTTACTAAGAAAATTAGATGAACAATCTAAACCTCTGCTAACCATCATAGTAGAGGTTATACAGAATGAAGAAATATCTTCAAAGAAAGGTAACAATGAAATAAACATAATTGCAAACATCACAAATACAGGAGAAAACTAACAATTCAAAAAGCCTATGTTAGAATTAGACAAGAAAGATATGATAGAGAATATCAACTTACCTAAGGATATTCTTAGAGAGATCAGATTAAAGCTGAAAAATATAATGCAAAAATGCGTCTCAACCATTACAAATATCCCTGGCAATACAGAAGTAATAAAAGATGTCATCAGAGTAACAGAAGAGGCTCCATTCAAGATCAAGCCATATCAAATCAAATACTATATCACTACAGAAATACAGTAGAAAAAGATATAAAGAATTTATGGGATCAAAAATCAAGCTCTGCATATTATTCTCCTATTTTTATTGTAAAGAAGAAATATGATCAAATTAGACTGTGCTGTGGTTACGTAAGATTTAACCAAGTTACAGTAATAGACAGGGAGCCTTTGCCTAATACAGAGGACCCTATCAATGAAATAGCAAGGCACAATATATTTATTAGACTTAACCAGAGGTTTTTGGCAACCCTTAAAAAACAGTTTTTCTTATTAATAGAAAATGGTCTAACACTATTGCCTGAAAAGTTATAAATCGTCTTCAAATATTTAATTTATTTACATTATACCAGTGGTTTAACAAAAATAAACTACCACAAATGACATCCAAATAGCACTGAGTCAAAATGGACCCAGACACGCAGCACTACCATTCGCACCCGGGTACCATTAGACTCAAGCTATTCGGATGTCATTTGTGGTAGTTTATTTTAGTTAAATGAAGAAGTAAGTTTACAAACATATAGTCCATTCAATTATTTTTTATTTGATGCCTCATTTTGTCTTACAAACCCAACAATGATATTTTAAATAGTTTTTTAATCCCAACCTCTCACTTCTGGTACCGGGTACAAATAGTCGTAGCCTTGCTAGTTTTTTAATCCCAACCTCTCACTTCTGGTACCCGGGTACGAATAGTCGCAGCCTTGCTTTATTGTATATGAAAAGGTGCCAGCTGCTCATTGTCACTTTGATTGATGGTAGTGGGGTGGGGGAGCAGAAATCAAAGATGCTGACCAAAGGCTCCCAAGCGAAAGTGGGGGGAGGGGTCTGGGGAGGAGGCTCTGTGAGCTCTTCAACATCATTCTATATTACAAAGCTCTACTATAAAAGTATCAATATTTTGGGCATTATCAGTAAAAATACTATTGTCTGACATGAGTTCATCCATTAAATAATGACAATGGAGTTGTTTGTTTTTAACCAGGAAGATCTTGTGTCTGAGTTGGCTGAAATGAAACAACGTTTTGAATCTCAAAGAAAAGATTTGGAAAAACAGAAGGCTCATATAGAAGAACAGAAATTAAATGTATTGAGAGATGAAAACGAGAAAAAGGATTCTGAAATAGATTCACTAAAGGTAAATATGATTTAATTATTAGATGCACTTGGCACGACAAAGATCTTTTAAAATTTATTATGTTTCTGTACCCATTTAATCAAGTAGCATGAATTTTGATTCTCAAATTCTAATAATTCATACCAAATATGTTATACTTTATAAAAACCATATCTCTTTTGTTTACAAGCTTTTAATTGTCCAGCTTGAAAGCCTTCAGCAATTTTCCATGCAAAAAACCTTGTTTAGAGACAAAAAATGTATGTATTCAAACCTGCTGCTTACCAGCTTCATTATTATCATGCTTTGGACACAAGTCTCATCAAATGATTTAAGGCTTCATTTAGGGGGAAACCAGTAAAGCAATGGCTTAGCTATAATTCTTCATTACACGTGTGCAGGTAAAGAGCATAAAATCAGTATTAGAATTATATTTTTTAAATGATTTTAAAATTCCAGTGAACTCAGCTGATTGAAATCAGATAAGATGTAATGGAAATTATTTCTTGAAATTCTCCAGGCCCATGTGGGTAAACTCAAAATGGAAAAAAATTATTTAAAAAAAGAAATAGAAGCTGTGAAAAAGCTGCTAGAATCCTATCAGAAGAAAGAATTGGAAGCAGCAGTTTATAACCTGCAGCTAAATAATGTCAAACTTGAAGAACAAAACCAAGGGAAGGAGGTGAGTAATAATTAGCTTTATGAATTGTTATGTTAACAAAATAAAACTACTGTGGAGCTTTTAAGAAGCTAAATTCTTAGAATAACGTATATCAAGAAGACTTTTACACATCAAAAATTTGTAAAGCATTTCCAAATAATTAAGGTAAAGAATTTGAGAGGGAATGCAAATACATATACTGAAAATGTAATGCTGTTACAAAGGTTCTCATCTCTTACTAATAAAGTCAGCTATAAAAGTGTTCAAGAAGCCTTTTAAAGAGGATGTTATTGCATGTTCTAAAAGTGCACCACTTAATTTCTTCATGTTAGCTACAGAGCAATGATAGGAATTATGTTGTTAAGTGTTTTTATTTGGCATTACTTTTCAAACAGGAGGTAAAACTAGCCTTCAGTGATGGGTACACCAAGGGAGCCAAAGATGGGTTTGAGAGAGGATATGAGGAGGGGAAGAAAGACGGGGCCAAAGAGAAACTTGAAAATGGAAAGGTGGAGGGACAAATGCTGGGATTTGATGATGGCAAGAAAGAATGTGAGATATTGGGATATTCTGATGGAAAAGCATATGGGAATCTAGGTGGATATATTGAAGGAAATAAAGGATTTAAGGAAAATTTTGAAGATGGAAATGGAAAGAACGATGGAGAAAGGATAGGATTTGAATATGGAAAGAAAGAAGGTAAAGATGAAGGATATATTGAAGGCAAGAAAGAAGGAAGAGAAGAAGGCTATAGTGAGGGGAAAGCTGAAGGATTCATTGATGGGAAGAAAGAAGGTAAAGATGAAGGATATATTGAAGGCAAGAAAGAAGGAAGAGAAGAAGGCTATAGTGAGGGCAAGGTGGAAGGATTTATTGATGGGAAGAAAGAAGGATTTAATGAAGGCTATGAAAAGGGAAAGTTAGATGGAACTGAAGAAGGAATTAGTGAAGGGGAAAAAAAAGGATATAATGAAGGCAAGAAGGAAGGATTTGATGAGGGGTATGAAACAGGTAAGAATTATGGAAAAGAAGAAGGGTATGATGTGGGATTTGAAAATGGAAAATTAGAAGGATATAATGAAGGAAAAATAGATGGCTACAATGAAGGAAAAGATGAGGGATATGAAGAAGGTTACAACTGTGGAAAGGCTGATGGAATTTATGAAGGATGTCTTCAGGGTGAAAAAAATGGACAAGAGAAGGGAAACATTCAGGGAAAATCAGATGGCTTTGACACAGGAAAGAAACTAGGACTTGAGGAAGGATATTCTGAGAGAAAGAAAATTGAACATGAGGAAGGAGTGTCTGAAGGAAAGAGAGTTGGACATGAGGAAGGATTGTCTGAAGGAAAGAGAATTGGACATGAGGAAGGATTGTCTGAAGGAAAGAGAATTGGACATGAGGAAGGATTGTCTGAAGGAAAGAGAATTGGACATGAGGAAGGAAAGATAATTGGGCATGAGGAAGGATTGTCTGAAGGAAAGAGGATTGGGCATGAGGAAGGACATTCTGAAGGAAAGAAAATAGGACATGAGGAAGGAAAGAATATTGGGCATGAGGAAGGATATGAGGAAGGACTTTCTGAAGGTAAGAAAATTGGACACGAGGAAGGATTGTTTGAAGGAAAGAGAATTGGACATGAGGAAGGACATTCTGAAGGAAAGAAAATAGGACATGAGGAAGGAAAGAGAATTGGACATGAGGAAGGACATTCTGAAGGAAAGAAAATAGGACATGAGGAAGGATATGAGGAAGGAAAGAGAATTGGACATGAGGAAGGACATTCTGAAGGAAAGAAAATAGGACATGAGGAAGGACATTATGAAGGAAAGAAAATAGGACATGAGGAAGGATATGAGGAAGGACATTCTGAAGGAAAGAAAATAGGACATGAGGAAGGATATTCTGAAGGAAAGAAAATAGGACATGAGGAAGGACATTATGAAGGAAAGAAAATAGGACATGAGGCAGGACATTCTGAAGGAAAGAAAATAGGACATGAGGAAGGATATGAGGAAGGACATTCTGAAGGAAAGAAAATAGGACATGAGGAAGGATATTCTGAAGGAAAGAAAATAGGACATGAGGAAGGATATTCTGAAGGAAAGAAAATTGGACATGAGGAAGGACATTCTAAAGGAAAGAAAGATGGACAAGAAGAAGGATATGCTGAAGGAAAAATAGATGGATTTAATGAAGGAAATAAAATTGGTTTCCTGGAGGGTTATCAAGAAGGGGAAAAAAATGGCTTGGCTAATGGTTATGCGCAAGGAAAGAATGAAGGACAAGAGAGGGGATTTAAGGAAGGCAAGAATAAAGGACATGAAGAAGGATATGTTAAGGGTTTAAAAGAAGGAAAAGAGGAAGGATATAAACAGGGCAAGTCAGATGGATTCAATGAAGGCTGTACACAGAGTGAGAAAGATGGATATGAAATGGGATACACCCAGGGAAAGAATGATGGGTTGACGGAGGGTCATCATAAGGGAAAGTCTGAAGGTCTACAGGAGGGATTTATCAAAGGAAAGGCGGAGGGCTTTACTGAAGGCCATGCACAGGGGAAGAGAGATGAACATGATGAAGCCTACAAGAATGGAAAGAAAGATGGATTAGAGGAAGGATACAAAAAAGGAAAAAAAGAAGGAACGGATGAGGGATACCAGGAAGGGTTCAGAAAAGGGAGACAAGATGTGGAGCTACAGAGAGAGGTGGATGGCATCAGTTACAAAGAACAAATACAAGTAAGTAATTTTTATCCTAATTTTTTAGCATTATCACACAATTGATTTCTTAAACTAATCCTTCTAAAACATTTTAAAAAATTGTTCCTTTTTGTGTAGATATCTCAATACTGCCATGCTCAGGAGATTAGAGCAGAGACAGCTCCTTTGTAGTGTTCCTTTTCTGACATTTTATGAATTATTATAGCAAGCTTTCATTATTTCCCTCGGCTGATTTTTTTTTTTTTACCGAGTGTAGTAGAAACCCCTGCCATATGGTTTTATCATTTATTTCTTCTTGGTCATCAGCAAATGCTTGGTCCACTCATTCAAGAAAAGTCAGCTCTTGAAGGCAGATTGAGGCAGGAGAAGGAAAAATTCAAGAGACTCAGCCAAGAGATAACAGACAAAGATCAATTACAGGTATAAACAAGACACTCAGAGTAGCTCTAGAGATAACAGACAAAGATCAATTACAGGTATAAACAAGACACTCAGAGTAGCTCTAGAGATAACTGACAAAGATCAATTACAGGTATAAACATGACACTCAGAGTAGCTCTAGAGATAACAGACAAAGATCAATTACAGGTATAAAAAAAGACACTCAGAGTAACAGACAAAGATCAATTACAGGTATAAACAAGACACTCAGAAGGGCTCTAGAGATAACTGACAAAGATCAATTACAGGTATAAACTATTATCTCCTAGATGTATATTGGCATGTATTGTTCATGGTTGCAAGGGATGAAAGACTATGGGTTTGCTCGTATGTTGTGTTCTGTATTTTAATGTGGTACAATATAGATTGTTTCATTTCTCTTTTAATATGGTTGACTTTGTAGCGCGCTTGAAACCTGTTTACTGTGAACTCAAAATTGTGTATAAATAAAATGATTTCTGTTTTGGAAAGGGTGTGGGGTGGAAACCCTGATGTATGTGCCCAGGGGGTGTCCAAAGAACTCTTGCATGAGGGCAGAAGGAGGTTGAAATTTGACTTTTGTTTTGTAACAAAGTTTCTTCCATGGATCTGTCAACTACATTTTTTGCTCATATCTAAATTTAACTTTATGTACTTGAACAAATATATATGAACTAAGTGTACTAGGTGTATCCCATGGTGCCTCATAGTGCCACAACTGGACAGAAAAAGGACTACTATACTTAACTGTAAACAACTTAAAATGATTTGTTAAAAAATATTTTAATTTAAGGTTTAGTTACAAAGAATGTCAGTCTCCTTTTATACAATATCTTTAATCTCAATTTCAGATAAATACACTACTTAAAATAATTCTTTATTTTTATATTAAATTAATCATACTTAGTTGTAAGCAGATTTATTTGATCAGATTTAAATTCATTCGATTTATGTAAAATTTAAAAAAACTCAATTTCTCTGTTTTTAAGAATCTCATTTAGAAATAGGAATTGTATTTTGTGCTCCTTCTGAACACAAAACCACGCTCTGTTTAGTGCAGTTTTGGGGAATTTTATTTTGGACATCTATTGAACACAGCTTTAAAAGATAACATTGCCTTATTCTTATATATGTGTGCCTGTATGTCAGAATTTAATAGGTCAGAATTACATAGTGGGTTGTGGCTACCGCATAGGGGAACAGCAAAATACTACACACTTTTCAGAATATTTTTTTCCACTTTAATCCAGTGTGACACAGCACAACCAGTAACTCACTTGAATAAATACTGTTTGCAGGAGCTAAATAGCACTTAGAGATCTACATTTTAGTTTTATTTATTTTATCAAACCCTTTAATTAATTTAAAATAATGTATTCGGGATTTCAAAGTTATTTGTTGGAATTGACTAGACATAGGGCGCTTGGAAAAAACCTATTCAGTCAGGGCACAGAGAATCGATACATTTTTGTAACCACCGTCATAGTCGAACAAAATAATTGCATCACAAATACAGAGACATGCAAAGGTGAAAAGTAAACTAAATATTAGAGTTATAATTGTAGTTTACAGAGCCACTTCATTGCAATAAAACAATCTGATTTGTCTTGGCCTTGATAATCAGATGAGTGATCTAAAGCATAAACTTTACACCAACTGCTAGTTGTACATTTAATTATATCAGTACCATTTTGCTATTTCGAAATGAATAAAAAGCCTTTTCTAATGGGGCCGGCCATTATTAAATATCCAACGAGCTCACTTTTAAAAGTGCAAAACATTATGATGATGATGAGGATAGTACGGAAATGTTGTGGGGATAGCTTTGAAGCCTTTCAAAAATATTTAGAAATTATGATTTTCACAGATGATTAGGTGACAGATGGCTTTCTTATTAGGTGATAGATGGCTTTATTAGGGATGCAAATAGGATATTTATAGACTGTCAGAAGTTTCTGTAGCAGAATTTCTGCATAAATGTAAAGATTTTTCTGTCTTAAACCCTCCCCCTACCCCTAAACTTTTAGACTTGAAAAGGTTAATGGCAATAATCTTGGCTTAGATAAGCCTAAAATTTTTAAACTTTACAAGTTGTCAGTACCATTACTAAAATAATTAAAAGGCCACATGAAGCTAATAAGCCACCTGTCATACTCAAAATACTCTTGATATAATACTCAGGATAATGGGAATTTCTCTGAGGATACAGATTTTACAAACTGGCATTAAAATAGATTTATTTTTTTTTATTGAGAAAACAATAGATTTTTAACATTTAATGGGACCATTTATGCATGGACGTTTTTGGGGGGCCATTACAAAATAAATTTTATTCTCACTCAAATTTCAATTGCATTGAAATGGCCAGTCCAAACTTGCTACAGAAATTCCTGCTATCCTGCCTTAATGCCTTATTTATTCCTATTTCAATTTTTGCTCACCTTTGCCTTAGAATTCTTTCTTTCTTCTCCTTGGAGAAAAGCATGCCCTAGAAACTAAGAACCAAAAAGCCCATGAAGCTTTGTTACAAGAGCACACAGCTGAAAAAGCTGCACTCTTGGAGAAGATCCAACAGCTGGAGACACAGCAGAAGAATGTACAGTCAGACAAGAAAGCTATTGAGGATCACATTGAAGCTGTCCAGCAGGAGTTGGAACAGGCTCAGAAGGAAATAAATGAGGAACTTTTCCAAAGTGTTTCTGTCAGTAAAGTAAGTCTGCCTGTAATTAACTCATCAATTATCTTTTTATGATTAAACTATATGTTCTATTTAAATCAATAGGATTTGAAAAATAACAAATACAAGTTAAGATGATTCATTTTTAAATCTTGAGACTTATGCACTTGATTTGTGGTACTACAATGCTTTCCTTGAGTGACTAATGAATGCAATCTCCATCATCAACAGCCAGAATCTGGCATAGGCTCCACTGAAGATCATGGCAACCTTGCAGATCAAATAACCACGCTACACAAGCAGCTAAAAGTAGCAAAGAAAGACCAGATAGCACTTGGGCTGTTGCAGGTGGGTGATTTTTCAGTTTTGTTCACTTCTGCTGTTTCTTAACCATGTGTGCAGAAATTATAGCTAAAAGTTCAAAACAGAAATTCAGTTCTTGTTACATTTTTTAGATAATTTTTTAGTGTTCAATTTGCACAAATTTTGCTAAAGTTATGGCAGTAAAAACTGAATGGAAACTGGAAAATGTTATATTTTTCATGGGTTTTTCCAAAAATGCTTTTTGGCGATTTAATCATTTGTCAAATAATGAATTAATAGTTAAATTGCTATTTGATTTTTTACCTATTGTCCAACTTTTTAAAAAGTATGTCAGTGTATTGCTTGCTTAACTATAGGATGAGTATAACCTGTTGTTGAAAGATAAGGCAGACCTGGAAGATAATATTAAAAAAATCAAGTTGAAATCTGCACAGGATGAAAATAAAAAGATCACTTCAAATGTGGTGAGTCATTAACTTAACTTTACAAATGTTTGAATAAAACACATGTAGAGTGTATATTGGCATTTTGAACAGAGTTTGGTCTTTTTGCTTGAATGGGGTTCTATGCTTTTTTTCTCCAAGAGAATGGATACTCATAATGTTTGTAGTAATAATTTTTTCAAAATATGCTATAGTAATTGTATCCTAAATAAACTTATTGTGAACAATCAAAGCTCAGAAATTTTAATTTTGCTAAAGTTATGGCAGTAAAAAAGAAAACATAACATCAAAACATTTTAATTCCTGGAAACACACACATTAAAAAAACATAAAAGAATAAAGCTAGCAGTATTTAAATTTCAGTACATAATTAGCCAATTAACTATTTTTTTAAAAAAACAACTAAAAAATCTTTTAAAAATTGTTGTGAAACAGCTAACAAAATCTTTTTAACAAAATGCAACAAAGTTTAAATATTTATAGATGGTTTTATAATAACTCTTAAACAATACAAATTTCAAATATGTTTTCCATGTGGAATTTAATACCTGCTTTTATTAAAAAAGTGTCTGGGCAAATTAATATTTGGGCTGAACTAATAAAACAATTTGGACCTAAACAATGCCTGAATACAATATTGGAACTACTACAACAACTAGCTGGTGTTCTAAAGATGCTTTATTGACTAAAACCTTCAGAAATTTTGATGACCCAAATGGTGGATCATTTGTAGTGAAAGTTTCACTAAGAAAAATTTTAAAAATTTGCTAAAATCAAATTCAAATGCTGAAGTACAATTCAAAATTAACAATTTCAAGAGTTTTTTGTAATGTTACAGAACTATTTTAACAGCACAAATTGTTTTGAGAATTTTTCAACAAACAAGTCCACTTTCAAAATACTTCCAAACAAAAGAATTTCACATTGTAAATAAAAAGACACAAAATTTCACCGAAATGGGTTTAGGTTTAGTTAGATAAAGATTAAGAGACTTTTCAAGTTAAAACAGTTACCACATATGCATACTAAAAAATGAAAAATTATGCTTTTACATTTGAATTTGCAATGATCTTCCACAAAGGGTCATGCAAAATCTTCTATTATTCTAAGAATGGTTATAATGTGGGAAGACAGGAAGAGCGCTCAGGATCAGATTATGGTCAGGAAAGGGAGGGGGATGGGTTTGAGAACAACAGGTATAGACCTACTGGTGTGGACCTAGACATAGGGAGGTGTACATACCTTCAGGAGGATGATAGTTAGTTATTTTAAATAACATCTAACAGATCCTTAAATTATTTTACAATGACATGATTAACAGGCTATCTCATATATGTTCCTCATGCAGGCTGAAATCAAACAACTGAAAGAAGAAAAACTGAAAATGCAAAATCTTCTTGATCAAGCATCTGACCAAGTGTGTAGTTTTTTATTTATGATCTTTAAAATACATGTTAAATAAATTTTTGGAGGGAAAAGGCGGTTGGGGTGTTTGCTATCCATGTTAGCCTCTTTAGCAGAAAAAGAAAGGATGAGTTAGCTTTGTTTCCATTTCTAATACCAATTCCTGTAAGAAAGTACTGAATGGAATAAATAGTCTCTCGCATCATGTAAATTTATAGTATACAGGCTTTAAAAATACAAATTTCATGAAAATTTGTTTACTTCCAGCTTATGAAAGCAAGCTCCTCAATGGCTCTAGCCCAAGTGAAGTTTGCAAAAGAACTTGAGGAGCTCAAGGAAAACTCTAAGTCAATGGTAGAATTAGAAAATTATACACAAATTCAGATTAGTCTCATTGAGCAACAAAGACAAGTCTTAACCTTGCAAGATGCCATCAAGGAGCGTGAAGCTGTCATGGAACAGCTCATTAAAGGTTAGTGCAACTGCAATTTCACACAGGTGAAACTGTTAAAGGCAAGGAATTTGTTTTTTGACATTGTTTGAAATAATTTTGATAAATTTGTATTAATATCTTGGCTAATACTAATGTATTGAAAAGCTCTAGTGAAGCAAAACTAATTGATCAAACAATGCTGTATTTCTTTGTAACAGAGGCAGACAAGGAAAAACAGAATGTAATTCATGAAATGGAAAATAAGATTAAGGACATGCAGGAGAAATTAGACTTCAGTCAAGATCTTCTGCTTAAACAAAGAGATAAATTCAAAGACATGGTGGGTATTATTTTTAATTAAAATGTGATATTGAATATTTTTTTATTTTTACAGAAACAAAATTGAATTATTTATGTACATTTTTTCAAGGCTTGACGTAACTTTTAAAAGATTAACAAAAGCTGATGAATTTTTCTATATTTATTAGTCCATCTTTATTACTGCTGAATTGGCCTGTGTTGATGACATTGAATTTTTGTTTGGTCTCAACCATTTCACATTCTTCAGCATCTATAAGGCACAGAGAATAAATCTTTAAAATTTGTAAGAACCACCCCACTTCTGTTACGCATAAAAGCAGATAGTGGTTGGCATAATTTTTAGAGCATTTAAATTGTAACAGATTTATAGTGCACTATAAACTTGAATTTAACCAAAATATCAGGAGCCTGTGCTTTTTGGACTTGTCAAACCACTGAGTGAGAGCACTGATACTACTTAAAAGAAGAAAGTGAATGGGTTAAGATAATTCCTTAGGCAGTGGCTTTGACCCTTATAGGGAAGGTGCAGAATTAACTCAAATTAAGATTAAGACAATTATTGTGAAACCCATTATTACTGAAAAATGTGCTGAAGTAATCCAGTGGATGTGGATTATAAATGTCAAAATATAACTAAACAAATAATGTGTGTTTTATTTGTAAAGTATGTGAAGGCCTTCACTTCTTCCAGTCCATGTACTGACAGGGAGATATGCTCTTGGTTGGCTGAGTTTACCTTCATGATCTTTGTCTTGCTTTTTTTTATATTGACTCCGAGCTGTGCTGTAATGGTGGCTACATCTTTAGTCTTTTCCTGCATTTCTTGATGGTTGTGGGACAGAGGTGCAATGTCATTTGCAAAGTCTAGGTCATTCAGTTGTTCCCAGGGTTTCCACTGTATCCCGTTCCTCTTTTTTCATTATCCAGTCAATGACAAGGATAAATAGAAAGGGGGGCAAGAGACATCCTTGTCTGACTCCTGTTCCCACTTTAAAGGTATCTTTTAGGCAGGCTTCATGTACCACCCTGCATGTCATTTCTTCTTAAGAACTGAATGATCCTGACTAGTTTTCCTGGCACCCCATAATGCCAGAGATGTTTCCACAAGGTTTGGCAGTCCAGGCTATAAATGGCCTTTTCGTAGTCTTTAAAATTTAAGTATGGGGGAGTTACATTCGATGGACTGTTCTACAATGATTCGTAGTGTTGCAATTTGATCTGTGCATGATCTGATTTGGCAGAAGCTAGCCTTTTGATAATGTTGCTGCGTGTCGACTTGGTCCTTCATTCTATTCAGAATAATTCTGTTCAAGACCTTTCCTGGTACAGACAGCAGTGTAATTCCTCTGTAGTTTGCACAGTTGCTGAGATCCCCTTTCTTTGGTATCTTGACGAGGTATCTTGACGAGGTATCTTGACGAGGTATCTTGACGAGGTATCCTCCTTTCTCATCTTTTTGAACGTTCTCTTCTTCCCATATCTTTTCAAACAGAGGTTGCAGCATGTTGACTATTGTATCTATATCTGCCCTCATCATCTCTGTTGTGATGCTATCCGGTCCACATTCTTTCCCTATTTTGATCTGCTTAATAGCAAGGGCTATTTCTTCCTTATTTGTAAATCTTCATTTGCTGGTTGTATATCTGAAGTGTTGGTGGGTGGAGGTCTGTTTAGTTATTCCTTAAAGTATTCCTCCCATCTTTTTTGTTGTTCTTTTCATTCTGTTATTGAACTACCTTCCTTGTCTTTAACCAGTATCTTCCTGAGAGCTTTCTTGTTATGTCATAGAGCTCTTTCATGTTCCCCTTTCTGTCTGCTTCATCTGCTGCTGACGCTAGACCCTCTATGTAAGCACTTTTATACTTTTTGATGTTGTTCATCACCCTTCGATTTACTCCTTTATATTTCTCCTGTGCTTTTGTTTTCTCTGCCTTGGTGCGGCTGTTGCTTACTGCAGCCTTTATTTCTTTCCTATTTATTTTTTTGCAATGCATTGAGCGAGAGCTAATCTTTGTGTTTTCATTCACCGGTCCCAATACCTCGTTGCACATGGATGTTACAGACATCTTTATGTTTAGCTATTTATCTTCTATCTAGTCATCATCTGTTTTGTCTTGCAGTACCTGGAACTTATTTCTCAAAGTAACACTAAATTCCTGTCCTTTCTGCTTGTCTGCTAGAAGTATTATGTTGTATTTTATTTGTCTAGCAGCTGGCTCTTCCCAGTTTTTCTCAGTTTTACCTTGAGTCTTGACCAAACTAGATGGTGATCAGATGTGACATTGGCTCCTCTTTTTGCTTATACATCTTGTAGAGACCGTCTACACTTTTTGATAATACATATATGGTAAATGTGGTTTTCTGTTCTGATATCAGGGAACAAGGAACCAAGTTACCCTGTGGATATTCTTATGCTAGAATGCGCTGCCCCTAATAAGGAGCTCATTTGCCGCGCAGAAGTCTGCCAGTCTTTTGCCATTTTCATTTCTCTCTCCTATACCATGGAGCCCCATAATTTCTTCATATTCTGTTTTTAGATCTCCCATTAAGATATTAAGATCTCTACCTGGAAATTTTTCCAGTGTGGCTTGTAGTCCATTGTAGAAAGCTTCTTTGTCATCTTCCTTACTAACTTTGGTGGGTGCATAGCACTGTATTACATTCATAAATTTTGAATTTGTGTTTTGAAAGTTGCCATAATAATTCTGGGACCATGGGCTTCCCATTCTATCAATGCCCCTTGTGACATCATGAAGGTGACTCCTTGTGTGTGTGTGGAGCATTTTCCTTCTCATGCCCTGAGTATGTTAGTGTTTCTACTGAGGCCAAAGTTAACTGTCCAGCTTGTGTCCATCTTATTTCACAGATACTGTTTGAGTTTATAAGTTCTCATTTCTGCCACCACTTGTGCTGATTTCCCCGTTTCATACATGGTTCTAACATGCCACAATCCTATGCTTATTGCCTTTGAAAGGAGGGTCCTGGGCTTTGAGGCGTCCAGTATAACCTGGCTTTGGCCGCAATGCTTCATAACTCATCTTGGGGAGGAGAGCCCTCTCTTATCGAGGCTGAAATTATTATTTTTTTTCTTCTTGTTAACGCTTCTGCAGCAGTTTTTATTTTAATGGGTAAGGTAGCTGGCTTCACGTCAACCCTCCTCCTAGCTGGCTTCACATCAACCCTCCTCCTAGCTGGCCTCTCACCAACCCTCCTCCTGGCCTCACGCCAACGTTCGTCCTGTTTCACCCAGGCTTGGGACCAGCCATGATGGAGTTATGCCCCGGCCAGGCCCTAAATAAATTGTCTCCAAAGACACAAACAGGTCATAATCTTTTGCCTGGGCACAGGACACAAAGAACCTAATCCTCACCTTAACTGCATCAAGACCAGATAAAACACCGCTGCAGACATACAAATGAGATGTTAACACACTACCCTGCACTGCAAGGCTTACGCCTTAACTATACAAAATATCAGTCTACACAAACACCCCATAGACAAACAAAGAACAGATTGGAAAAGTGTGCAGAATTTTCACCATGGCTGAAAGGTACATGCAGGGCCGGCCCTAACAATTGCGGGGCCCTATGCAAAACGGATTGCGTGGGGCCCAGTCTGGGTAGGGATAATAAGTGAAAATTAAGAATTTGTATTAGAAAAAAATGTGCGGGGCCCACTGAGGCCGCATAGGTTGCAGTGGCCTAAGGCCAGCCCTGGGTACATGTCCAAATGGCAAGTGGTTCTGGAGAATGATGATGATGAAATTAAATCTTACCAATTTAGTAAAAGTATCACATTTTATATAAGTTGAATTTAGAATGAAGGAAAAATGTAAATGTAGAACAATATAACTGACTCAGTTTTTCTTTGTTTTTTTTAAAATTTTGTTCCAGTGTGCAATTAACAGAAGTAGGAACCTGACGCTGAAAGAACTCTATGAAGAAAATGCAGAACTGATGAAAAAATTTGCAGAAAGTGATGAGAAACGAAGATATTTTGAAAGAATGGAGAGGAAACTGAAGGAGAAGTGCGAAACCTATAAGAAAACTATGGAAAGTTTGCATTTAAAATTAGCACGATGATCTTAACATTCCAATTAAATTGCTTTATACAACTTGCTAAAAAAAAAAAGTCTGTCATTTCGACATAATTACCACTAAGGTATACTTTCAATTGACTGGCAAATCAATGGTCTACATCAATGTATGAAGTCATACAATTTGTTAACATTGAAGTATTTTTAATAATGTTAAACAATTCTTTGCATTTTCACCTTTTCCTTGATTGATGAAACATAATCTTTTGTTTTTATAAAAAGTTTTGAGATAATAATTTTTTAATGTTTACAATTACTTGTAGTTAGTATTATGTCATCTTTCTAATGAAGATCAGTTATCTGTAAGTTTATCTATAATCTGCACACAAAAAACTTTGCTTTTTTATGTTTCAAGCCATTTATCCCAGGGTCGTACCTCGACTAAATGCTGCCAGGGGCTAACTTCCAAAATTTCGCCTTCCCCCACCACTAAAACTGCGCAATTTTAAACTTCACAATGTTGAGTAATTCTGATTGTATTTAAAACATGTTTCAATCATGGATATCCCTCAGACCATTGCTGGTGCAGTTGAAATAAATAAACAAAAACATTAGTTTATTTCATAATCATTAAATTTTTCATTTGCAAAATGTGTGGTTTTCAGGCATAATGTAATGGTAATGTTAGGATGCATTCTAATAAGCTTGGAACCCAAAACCACTCATTTTCCACAAGGTTATGTACTGAATTTTAACTCATTTATTTCCCTTATATAATACCTTCAACGAATTAGGAAATATCACTGTGAAGAAACCCCAAAGTTAACCAAGCACTGGTATATTGTAAAAACATTAATTATCAAATGGTTACAATAATGGACAAACCTCTTTAGTTGCCAAGAGTAGTATAGCCCAAATCAGTAAACAATGGAGGACTTCTTGATGGGAGGTAAACAGTTAAGTGCAGAGCTGACAAAAATTATGTTTCTTTTTCACGGAGCTCGCAGATAAACAGATATTTTTATTTAAAAATTAGAATGTTGTGAGGGATGTAGAGTATTGCTAAGTTTTCTAAGAAAATATTTTTTGATCTCTCAATTTTACACTGGAATTTAAAACTATATTCAAAAATTGTAAAAATAATTAAATGGCACCAAAATTAGCACCGCCTCATGCGACCTGGGGCAGCCAAATCCTCATTTTCACCCCCCTACATTCTCCCTGGCTTGTTTCAAAATCCCAATATATGTGTAGCCTTTTAAATGGAAAATTTAAATTGTAATCTTTAGGTTAAAAAAAATTACTTTTTTGACAACTTAAATATATTTTTGAGAGGATGCCCCTTTCAAATTTACAATATTTTGTAATTGAAAACATTTGACTGCTGAGTCAATTTTGTTTCATTATTTACTTTACATTAAATCATATGTATATCTCTTTAATTGTTATAAACTCCATCCTGATCCGGAATTTGTTTTTCTTAAATGTTAATCATTTAGATACCGGTACCAGTGCATTTAATTATTCTTTTCTGCCAATTTAATTTGATAACATTGTGATTGCTACTCTGTCACTCTTTGATTTTTGTTCATACTTGCTTAAAATTGACGAAGAGTTTAATTAAATATTTTTTTTATTTAATAAATTTTATTTAGCTTGTGATTTTTTTCTGTTTGTCTGAGTCAAGTGTTGAATCTTAATTTTGACCCACTTACTAATGTAATAACACAAAGAATGAAAAATTATTTAAATTTATTGATTTATTGTATATAACAACCAATGGGCACTCTATACAATCAACCCCTTCAGTATCTTGAATACGCTGATGATATAGTACTGCCAGAGAAAATTATTAAAGACATATCAAAAGCCTTTATTGAATTAGAAGACGCATCACTACAAGCAGGACTGGAAGTTAACAACCAAAAAACAAAATACATGACTATGTTAAGAGAAGAACAGATGGATGAAGCCATTAAAATTACAAGCAACACCCTTGAAAAAGTAAAAAAAATTCAAAAATCTAGGATCCTTAATAAATGAAAAAAAGAAATTACCAACAGAAATTAAAAAAAAGACAAGAATATCGGCCAGAAATGGGGCAAACTTCAGTAGTCAGAAAATACAGGGTATTCAAAAGTAAAAGCATTAAAAGAAAATCGAAGAAAACTATCTATAAAACTGTAATCAGACCAGTAGTAACATACACAAGTAAAACTTGGACCCTAACAAAAACGGCAGAAAACCTATTACACGTATGAGAGAGAAAAATTCTCACCACAAAAACCCCAGAGGAAAACGGCCCAGAGGCAGACCTAGGCTTAGATTGATGGATGATGTGGAGAGGGATATACAGCAGCTGGGAATTCAAGCATGGAAAAGAAAAGCATCAGTTAGGTCTGAATGGAAGGATGTGGTGAGGCAGGCCGAAGTCCTAAATTGGATGTAGTGCCACAGGGATGGATGGAAATGTTTGTGTTGAATGACACTTTTAAAAAAAAAAGTACTTTACTTTTTTGTTCTCACTAATAAGCAACAAATCATAATTGTAACCTGTCAAGGATGGTGATCCTTCTGTTGCAATGTATGTTACTAAACAAAATTTCCTTGTTGAAGAATCTACAACCACTCACATCTGTTTCTAGCTGTCTTGCAAATGAAATTTGGTCCCAAATTCCAGGAAGCAAAGATTTGGATATGTTTTAATCAAAACTCTGTGGACTTCTGTTATGCTACACCCATAATCTTCCATTTTCTTAGCCTTGTGCCCATGATTTCAGAACCTCACTATTGAGAACTTCCCAGATTAGATTGTTACTTTATAAATTTGTTCATTTCATGAATGCAATGATTCTGATGAGTAGCTTGAAAAAGTCTACAGTTAATTTGCAAAGACTATTTTATTCTACCACTAAGTGTTGTTAGCGCGCAGTGTCCCAGTGTCCGGGGTATGTATAAATGTGAATAGTTGTTAATGACCTCTGGTACTTCCGTTAGAAAGTTGGAGCAAAGAACTTTTCACTCTTGATTGTGTTTAAATTTTATCTGTTTGTTATTGACTAGCAATTTGGTGCCTATCAAAAACTGTCCATGTTTTTTTTAAAAATATTTAATGTCCAGCAATTCTAAAAACACCTACTGGTTAATATTTGACAAATGTTTTCAATATAAGAGGCAGTGCAGTAAAATGTAAAGATTGTTAACTTGGAGATTTTTATCCCAATAATCAAAATACTAATTACTAATAGATTGTATCAAGACTCAACCTATTCATATCTGCTATGTAGGGAAGCTTACACATTTAGGCTAGGAATGTCTGAGTTTAAAAGGGCATCAACTCAGTTCTGGAGAAGCAAATATCAAGCAAGCATTCTCTAAAAAGTCTATTCCTGATAAAGTTCCCCAGCACCACTCCAAAATCTCCCAAGCCTTAAACAGCACCCTGGGTCATCCCACTTTCAGAGCCACAGAATAAGAGCATCTAGAAAGTTTTCCACAAGTTTTAAGGATGGTGGACCAGTGAATAAGTTTAGTTTTCCATTTCCCCAGGGACAAGAGGCAGATTTAATCATTTTTTTCTTTCTTCTTTTATTTGCCCCTACATATGTCATAAAATACATTTTAATCTCCAGCCAATGTGAGAGACCTCTATTGACTATTACCATTTATGCTAGTCATTTTAAGTTTTTTCTTCTAATTACAGCTGTTTATAATTTAACTTTCATCCAGTTTTTTTTCTTCACATTTTGAGGACCAGTAGAATAAGTGCGTTGATTGGTGCAGCGATGCGGACCACCATTTTGGGAAACTTTATTAATGGACATGTAAATATTACATATATTGGGAATCTTATAAAGTGAGTTACTTGAATGCCTGTTTTGTCAAATACCTTTAGTAGATGGGAAGTCACACATCACGACCGCCATTGTTTGGAAGGCTATAGCTAGTATATACATACATAACATACATACATATGTATCATTTGGTATCGCCAAAGGATCTGATCAAAGTTATTTAAAATTCATAGATTTTAATTAAATTTTATTTTTCTAATATTACGGCATCCAGTAATTTGCAAATAGTTCATAATGAATCTTCTAAAAATACTTAATTTAAAAAATTTCTAATAAAGTACAAAATGCAAAATAATTTTTTTCATTTTTATTCTTCAAAGCAGAGATTATAATTTGCATTCATTTATTATAAAAGTACTGTACTTTACCCCATGAGGTTAATTTGAAACAAAATTATTTTTTAACGTCAGTCTTGATCACACTTATTTAAATATGACTATATAAAATATGTTTTGGGTACAATTAACGGATTTTGAAAGGGCTTTTAAAAATCTTGATATTGAGAAATTTATTTTCACTTTAAATTTAAACACTGAAAAACCTCTAACCAAAAAAAATCAGTTGAGTTTTTCGTTTTTTAAAAACCTTTCTGTGATTATTTTTATAATTAAAAATATTCACAGTCCTTAATTTGTATCCCTTTAAGTCAGTGATCAATGTTCTAAAACAATTATGAGTATCAGAGATTTAAAATAGAAAAAAAATTGTGAAAATTCATGACAAAAATACAATTAAAAAAATAAAATTAGCATTTTCAAAATCTATCAATTGTCATCATAACATGAACAGAAACAATGTCAATTTTTTTTCAGGATTTCTTATTTTTGGCAGCTACAGCTGTCTGTGCCTGCTTCTTTGCCTTGACCAGTTCACAGAGTTCCTGAGAATTTAAAAAAAAATGATTGAATTGTTCAAATAATTGCAGTTACATGTTCAGTGTTAGCAAATCACTGTATATACTTATCAAAAACTACAGATGGATGTAATTGTAATATTAGATAATCAGTCCAGTTACTTTTTCATGTTTGCACAGAAAGAAAACAATTGCTTTAATATATATTTAATGAATAAGTTTATTTTATGGAAATTAGAGTTCAACTATATTTAAATGTTTACACTTCATGCACATACACAAAGACAGATCAAAACATTAATATACAAATATACCCAGCATTGCCTTGGTATGCATTTTGTAATGTGATTTGTTAGACTCATTCACATATTATTATTCATTATTTCTCTTTGAAAAAATACAGAACATGCAGGTTATTTGTGATAGACAACTGAACATTTCCAGACAGTATTTCCTAAATGATGGGTTAGGACCCTCGCACTTGACATGGAAGCAAAATACTGGGTCACCAAAACAAAAAAAAGAAGAAAAATCATGTTGAAAACATTGGTGTTTCCCATAACTTTCTAAAACACTTACTTCCTGCAATTCCCAGAAATGTATAGAAACTAATAGAACTTAATGGAAATGAGGATGTTCCACTTCACTGGATTTCAGGCCATTCAGGTGCAGACAGAAATGAGAGAGCAGATGATCTACCGTGAACCCAGGCCGCCCAGCCCCAACCTGATGTGCCAGTGACATAGGTTCTAAGGTGTAGCTTAAAGCCCACTATTTGGAAGCGTGATCTGATGAGTGGGTTGGCAACACAAATGCTAGGAATTTATTTGGAAACAAGCCACAATCAGACAAAAGTTATCCATAGTACAGACTCAGTCCCCAGCACCAGAGCATGGTGACACAAATGAGAAACAACCCATAGCTATTTCCATAGTCTAGATCAGCGTTTCCCAAACTTTTTAGCTTGGCAGACTGGGGACAAGTTTCCCCATTGCACATGGGACTGGTGCCAGAATGATTATTTGTTGTTCTTTTTATTTGGCCTTAAATAAGTCATAAAATATTTGTTAATGCAGCATAATCACAGACCTGTTTATCCTCAAACTCTTAAAATCGTACAATGTCATCTTAAAAGCGTTCAATACATTATCTTAATAGTAAAAAATAAACATACAGTATATATAATTTATACACCTCAAAATCGTACATTGTATGCCAAAATCGTAAGAGTAAACAGGTCTGTAATCAGCCAATTCTATAGAAATTTTACCATTTAATGCTAGCCCTTATATTTAACACTTTTACTTTAAAGCCATGTTATGGTTGAAATATGTGTTGCATGAAAATAAGCAGTACAAACTTGCACACAAAGTATGTAGCCTAGATTCAGTCACCTTGTGTAGCTGTGCCCCGTGGCTGAGCGGTCTTCTTAATCTGAGTTAATCTCAAGCTAGTGGACTGGGGCACAATCCCCAGCAAATGCCTAGACAAGCAAAAACATCACCAGCACCTCAGGTGGATGGGACTGGTTAACTTTGCATGGCAAATCATCAATGAGAAGGCAAACTCTAAATTCAAACCTGGAGATGGAGTCCCGTAGGTGGTATGACAATTACATAATAAAAATTCTGAAAACTCCTGTGACGTAGGACGCATAAAGAGTGTCAAGACGACTGGTCTATTTCCAGACGTCTTGACCAACCAAGTCTCGCTATTGGATCACATAAGCAAGGATGAGAGAGTGAGGCTGAGAAATTGAGCGATTCTCCCTCACTTTAAACAAAATACAGCTCAAGTCAGGGCTACTGCTCAAGTCAGGGCTACTGCTCAAGTGGCAAATTGCCTTGATCATCTTTGCGTGCAAAGGAACAACAACATAACTGTTTACATGTGTCTTATCTCATCCCCCTCTTTTCACAAGGAAACATCACATAGGATGGCCAGTTTAGGCATGATCTATAATGCCAATTTTTTTAAATTAAATTGTTTTAGTCTTGTTTTGTGTGGTCATTCAATTGATAGGCTTCACATTCTAAAAATTTGAATCTGGCACACAAGGTTAAATTTCTACACTCCTAATATAGTGCGGACCGATAGCGTAAGCCTCACCGACCGGTGCTGGTCCATGGACAATCATTTGGGGAATGTTGATCTAGATCCAACCTGCTGCCAATTTTCCCAAACTCCGGAAAAGCATTGACCACCTACTGAGTCTGGATTGGGGGAAGGGGAGTCCCATGTTATGAAAATGATTTACAGCAGTGCCCATCTGAAGAATCAAGCTGTTGACACACTAGCCTGGGTCTAAAAGAGCTACTAGATCAACCCCACAAAGATTATGAAAGGATAATAGTGTGTGGTTAAACTATGAAAGTTGATAAATGATGAGCACGTGTACCAGTTCTAGTTAGTTCAAATTCATTAATCAATGAAGAAGCCTATGAGGAACAGACAATCAAATTTCTATAATATATATATATAAACCAAAAATGTATCAATATAGGGGTATAAGTCTATATAAATATATAAAATGATTACCTTATATCGCTTCATACAATCCTTTTTACTCCTTGATGGAACAGCGGATGCAATTTTATCCCAACGATCAGGTTCACTAGGTTGGTAAGATTTGAGTGCTTGTTCCAGTAACTTCTGTTCATCTGCTGACCAAGGGGCTGAGTTTGTTCCCAGTTCTCTCACCTGCTGCTCACCAACACCTGGAAATATATCTTTTTTGTTAAAATCTCAGACAATGTAACTAAGGTTGCAAACTTATCAATACCAAAAACAATACATTTTGCTTATAAAAAAATAAAAAACACTAACTTAACGTCAAGTCAGTGGTTGCCAATCTGCCATTGACTTAGTGTGCAGTTTCGGTTGGTTATACCAATCTTCTAATACTTCTATGATAAATTTAGCTTTTAAGTGGCCTAAAAAGACCAAAGGTCGAAATATGGTTACTATTAATGATTTGTTTTGTGTATGTGTCTTTTGTTTCATGTTTTGGAATATTTAGTGAACATGTTATGGTGTTGAGATTGAGAAACTTTGCTATATTTTTTGTTGATAGCATTCTGAATGTTTAGTTATCCTAGCAAACATAGCATTTTCAATTTCTAACCAACCACTTAAAGAGTTTGGCCTTCCTTCACCGTATCATTATCTGAACTTACTCAATGTTAATCACCAATATGAGAGAGAACTTTCTTACAACATAATTAAGCTTTCCGAATCTGTTCTTCAAAATGGAAAAAAAAAACAACCTAACGCTGAACGAAGTCGAGTCGGGGCGAAGTGAGGCTATTCAGCTGGAATATTCAATTATAGAAGAGAGACTTTTAATAATTGCTCATTTTTTATAGTCTTTTAATAATTGAAAAACGATGTTCACGTTTGTTGAGAGGCTTTTGAAGGACTTCAAGAAAAAAAATGCTTACACAAATGATCTTTTCTTGTACAACACAATAACAAATCCACTAAAACTAGTCCAACTTCAACAATAGCAAGTTTGCTAACGATAAAATGTGAAAAAACAAAATCCCCCAACTTCTTACTTCTATGGCTTTTAGCACCAAATATTGTAAGAGCCTGCATTAACCCAACCCCCCTATCAACTCTTCTCTAAAATGCAGTCACCCCTTGAAAAGGTTTGATAATCTGCATACAAGACCCTAATGAGCTTGACCGTTCAGTGCATTGGGAGACAATGTACTGTGTGACATGCTGAAATGTCAAAAACCAAGAACATTGGTTTGTTTAAAAGTTGGTACCCGGGCTTTACCAGAATGAGAGAATCTCAAGTGATATTTTGTTTAGAACTGAAACTGACAGGAATTCTGGTTAAGAAATCCTAGTACTGACATTGCCAGTATTGTCAATAATGGCAGTGAACTAATTCTTATAAAGTCAACTCACTCTCCAGTCTCTCACTTGGTTTCTCCATATCCCCAGACTTTGCAGCTTTGTGACTTTGTTCAAACTGGGAAAAAGCATTTTTTCTCACCTCATCTCTGAGCTTCATGTCTGAGGTCAAATAAAAGAACATGATAGAAAGAAAAAAAATCAACTTTAATTATATATTTGAGTTAAATTTCTGTTAATCTTCACAAAGAAAATAGATAAATCATGCTTTATTCACAAATAATTAATGCAGCAATTTTTTTAAAAAAAAACTTCGATTTTTTAAGTCATTTTTAAGTCTAACTCAAAGTTAGCATGGTTCAACCTATAAGCAGCCTAAATAATACTTAAAATTAAGACCAAACTTGTTATTTCATCCACTTTGACCTGAGCAGAAAATAAGGCATCAAGTTTTTATTAATGCTGATCAGGTATGTCTTCTTGAAGACTTAAATCTTAGTTGTTATTACTTCATTAGACTTCATCATGGCTAATATACTTTATCATTCCCCCCAAAAATGCAGAACAAAATACGTTTAAAGAGTTTAGAAATTGTCACGTACTGAATTGAGAGTTAAACAATTTAGCATGTTTAAGAACAGCGGGTAAACAAAACAGTACATGGTAAGTACTACTAATGCCAAGAGGATCCGGGTGGGGAGCGGTGGCCAAACTTGACTATTTTCTGCCCGAGGGGAAACACCCAAAAGTGCATCATCTAACACACACACACCAATTTAAATATGGTTAGCCTACAGATAAACCCTGAAGAGCTGCCCCTTTGCACCCCCTAGGTAAACCACTGAGGGAAAGGCAGAATTTCAAATGCAGGTTTAATCTGGCACTGAATAGACGTGAAGCTTATCAATTTCATAAGACGCTATTCATCGCCTGTTTAAAAGTCTCTTATATGCAGACCTGTTTACTCTTATGATTTTGGCGTACAATGTACAATTTTGAGGTGTATAAATTATATACACTGTGTGGTTTTTTTTACTATTAAGATAATGTATTGAATGATTTTGTGGTGATATTGTACGATTTTAAGAGTTTGGGGGTAAACAGGTCTGTATATGTCATGTGCAGAACATAGCATCAATTAGCTTTTGCACAATCATTTAAGATGGCTAAGCAAGGGAAACATTTTTGGATCGTTTTTGGATACTTGATGAGTTTCTCACAACTGTACATTCAAAGAAGGTTGATGAGTGTGTGGAGTTTTGCACAAACCTGAACAAGATTAGTGCAAAAGTGTGGTGGACATAAATATTAAGATCAGTAAGTTAGCAAGTTTTTTACTACAAGGTAAGAAAAAGACTGTCATGGAGCTTTAAAAGAAATGTCCTTCGCTTAAGAAGAAATGTGCACTATTTGCCAGTGATCATATAGTTCATAATTACATGTCAAAAAGAAAAGCTGGGTCAGATTTCACAAATGTTAATCTCCTACACAGAAAACATCAAAGATAAGTTTTCATGTCGAGTTAAAGAAAGATTGTGCAAGACTGTTAGGAAGATTATTCTTTGTTGCAGATTCATTTATTGTCCTTCCTATTGATGACTGGAGAGCTGTTGCAGCGAATTCCCCACTCACTAAGTCAAGCTTCCCTTTGACTGGGAACACTTGATGACCAACAGGGAAATGAACATCTGAATCTGAAGCTACGTGACCAGGAAGGAGCAGTCTTCTGATGTCAGACCCTTGTAGAAATGCTACGTGACCAGGAAGGAGCAGTCTTCTGATGTCAGACCCTTGTAGAAATGCTACGTGACCAGGAAGGAGCAGTCTTCTGATGTCAGACCCTTGTAGAAATGCTACGTGACCAGGAAGGAGCAGTCTTCTGATGTCAGACGGTTGTAGAAATACAGTTTCCAAAACTCGGAGAACACAACAAAAAAGGCTTGATAATGTTTCAATCAACTTTTTCGTGTGAGAGCTGCCATTTCAACCATGAATATCAACCATACGTGTCTGTATGTGGCTTTTTAAAATAATAGTTACATTCCGAAATAATGTTAGTGTTTTTGTTTAATATTTATTTTAATAAGTTGAATAAGTGATCAAATTTTCCTAAGTCACGAACAGCAATACCTGCCCCCTTTTGAACATTTCAAAACCAATTTTTTAATTTTTAGAAATGATCTTGGTTGTGGGTTTCTACAACTTGGAAAATATAATCAAAGGGTCAGAACACTAAAATGGTTGAGAACTACTGTCTTAGATACTCACAGGCAGAGTATGGCCTAGTTCATTCTATAACATGGGAACCTTTCTTGATTTGTAGATAAGGGAAAAAAATGTGAATAACCCACAAAACTTCTCACTCACATGAAAGTCAAAGAAAAAACAAAACAAAAAACAAAAAAAAAAAACCAAAAAAAAAAAAAAAAAAAAAAAAAAAAAAAAAAAAAACAAAAAAAAAAAAAAAAAAAAAAAAAAAAAAAAAAAAAAAAAAAAAAAAAAAAAAAAAAAAAAAAAAAAAAAAAAAAAAGGGGGGGGGGGGGGGGGGGACTATTGCAGTTAAAGAAAAAATACAGATAGGCTGTGAAAAAAATGTGTCAACACAATAAAGGAATAAATGATATAAAAATTAAAAAAACAAAGACTTTCTATCAAAGAAATAAATAGTAGAAATAATTAAATATTCTTAAAATGCATTACACACAAAAATACCGTGCAGAGGTGTAGATGAGTGCTCTTTATAGTCAAAGGAATGAAGACTAAACTTAAATATGTTTTATTTTTATTAATTTTTTTAAAAATTTGATTATACAATATATGGATGGCCCATAATGGCGTAGTATTTCCTTATAGAGTATGAGACTGCTTTGTTTAGACAAAACATTGGATAATCACATCAGTTCTAAAATGATAGTCTTTTCTCTTGAATCTAATAATGGTAAATATAATCAGACAGCAGTGCATATCAAGGGATTTATTTGGTGCGTGATGCGGAATGGCTGGAAATTTGTTTTCTCCCTTACTCTCACGTGTGCTTGAGCCCAGGGTTGGTATTATTTTTATTAAAAGTTTTGTTTTAAAAAGTGAGACCTGTTTACTCCAGTTCATATGGTACCATTTCATTGACATTCCTGTCAAACCATTAACAACACACCACATTTTAGAATATTAATAAATTATGTAAATTATATTTTGAAATAAAAAAAGATTTACCATTTTTCTGTAATTCTTTGGCTTTTGACAATACGTCTTTGGCATTTTTGTTGCTACCAGACACATGCTGACTTATGAAATTCGCTATAACTTCCCATCTAATGAGAAAAAAAAACACATTTTGTTTAGTTTAATTTATAAATACCTTAATTGTTGACAGTAAATGTAAAAGCAATAAAATTGTTATTTCCTCATGTTGAAGTGAACCTATAAACTGTGTTGGGTACAATACAAGGACTGCATTCAAAGAAGACCTTTCAATATTATTGTGTTCAGTAGGGAGTGAGAAAATTTCTCTAACAAAGACTTCTATTTCCATACCCTAGTGTAAGATTATTTGATTAATCCACAGGATATTCAGATAAGGCCCCACTATTGGCCTTTGTCCAGATGTTCAGTATGTAATAGGATAATGGCATGGGTGCTGGGTGGCCGAGTGGTCTAAACTGAGCAAATCTCAAGTTGGTGGTCTGGAGTGCAATTCCAGCTAGAGCAAAAACACCACCAGCACCCCGGGTAGATGGGACTTGTTAACCTTGGACGGCAACTCATCTAAGAGAAGGAAACTCTGAAATCAAACCCGGAGATGGAGCCCCGAAAGGCGGATAACATTGATACAATGAAACATTCCGACAACTCCTGCGACGTCACTGGTGCCAAGCTGTATCATCCAATGATGTTCCCTTGGGTTACCCAGCGGCGTGGAGAGAGGCGATTTGCTGTTGGGAACCAGCTTATAATCCTTCAAGTATAATAATCCCAGGCTATGTGGATTTCGTCCTACGAAGCCCACTCCATAAAAAAAAAATGCAGTTAAAAAAAATTTACCCCCCCCCCCCCCCCACCCCATCATGTGAAACGAATTCTTCACACACCTTCCACCATGATAAATCACATGCTGACAGACAGGAGAGGAGAAATATGGTGTCCTTTTCTCTGCAGACTGCTTTGTGGGTCACCCATTGAGTTAAGGACAAAATTGTCTCAAGCATTGTAGTTTTTACTGATTAACTTACTACTACCTGCTTTCAAGACAGTTTGAAAGGACTCAGAGGACTAATGTGAGAAGTATCTTGGAGGACACCATCAAAAGTTAAAGTGCAATGGCTTCCTTACAGAGGATTTAAGGCCACACAGGTATGCTGACAACAAGCAAGAAGACTCGCTAACAAAAAACAGGTTGCCCCTGTTTTTGCAATGGGTGAACATCATTGCAAGGTCTTGAAAAGTTATATGGTAAAATGCTAATTTCTATCAGAAATGAGCACTGTTTTCTGTTTAGTCACATAGATCCCAGAGTTTCTGATAAGTGAGCCTAAAGATATGTGAATCCACTTTAAAATCCATTTTGAAGAGTTAACAAAATGAGATGGCTAGCCAGATTTGGCCAGCAGGCCACAGTTAAGTACAGATGCTTGGAAAAAATTCTAAAATTTAGCTCACCTATCTTGAGTGCCTGCAGGAAATAAATTGACAGCCTTGATGAGTGTTTGAGTTTCAGCTTCTGACCATAATTTCCGAACATTTTGATGATCTCCCACGGATTTTTGTTGGGTCAGCTCTAATTGTTGGCGCTTTTCTTCTTCTATTTGTTGATTAACTAATTTCAACTGAAAAATTATGGTAACATTATTTTAATTCAATTTAAGCCTTTTAGAACAGAGCTCCACAAATGGAGTGCCATGGTTAGATGCCTAGGTTTGCTGGGGAGTAATGCCTCCAACATTGGGAGGATGGCATAGAGAATATGCTTGGCATGTCAAAAGATAATATAAAAAGATATAAGTTCATTGTTTCCAACTCAGCAAAAATAAAATTTATGGACAGATATAAATATAATAAATTTTTACAAACAAAATTTTTAGACAAACACAATTTTTACAGACATTTTTAATATAAACTTTTTCAAACTATGAACTGAAATAAAACAAAATTCAAATGTCCATATGCAGAGCCTTCATATGCACCCTGAAACCTCAGCGGCTACAGGGTGCATTGGATAATTAAAGAGCCCCAAGTTGTGATGCGGCCAAAAAATTTCATATAAAGTATATTAAATTGCACTTAAGTGGCAGGGGGCCAACAAATTTTTTTAAAGAGTATTTCCTTACTTATACTAGGTAATATTATCTATTGTTTTATTTGGTTATGCACTTTGTTTATTTAATGTGTGCATATTTTCATTCATATCATTTTTCTATTGATTGACAATTTTCTAATTTTTCTATTGTTTTGTATTCATTATGAATGGATTGATAAAGTGGAGACAGATTTATGTCACCTAGGAGTCTTCTCGTGAAGACCAATATCCTTCTCAATGGAAGGATGTGATGGAGCAGGCCAGAGCCCTACATGGGATGGCCCTTTGCTGATAATGTGGCACACTGTTGACTATTAATGATCCCATTTTTACACTTTTGAACTAGTATGGAACACAAACTCTTGGTGAGGATATTCTGGAGTATGAAGTTTTTCATGGTTCCATATGGTTTATCTTTAAGTATGTAGTGTTTTGATACAAAGACATACCTTACACTTTTATTACTCTCAAAATCCACCTATGACTGTGAAACAGGCGCAAAATGAGAATTTTGTGCTTGTAAAATTTTAAACCCAGTGCAATTTCCAAGGCTCCCCATAGAAAGTCCCTACATAATGGCTGTAGCAAGTCAAGTGCTTAAGTTCAGTATATGTTCTTTAAAGTTCTACTTTTAAAATTTCTTGTATTGAACTTTTCCTAGACTATACCAAGCAGTAAACATAATGATACTAACTTTGTCATTTACAAACTTAGTTCTAATGTTCATAGAGGAATTATACTAAGTGTAACATGACTTGCTCATTAGCCTGACTGAATCAAATTTAGCTAGGAATCATATTTTTGGGCAGAGGGTGTGTGTCTGTGTCTGAGGCCATCCTAACTGTCAATTATAGGTATGAGACTCAACAATTAACCTAGTTCCTTACAACTTTATTTGAAAATGATAATTACCTTGTTCAAGAATGCATCTTTTGCAGAATCTTTTCCTTTGGTGAGATTCTCATTTAGCTCTTGTAAACTTAAAGGATAAGAGCCATAATCTTATATGTTTAATAGTTGATCTAATATTTTTTTTAAATACATAAACCTATGAAGAAATGAAACTTGGAAGATTACGATTTATCTGTAAATAATTATATTTAATTACCCTCTTTTTTCAAACATCTATATAAGATTCTCAGAGTACTTTTTGAAAGACTGAACTTTTCACATTCAGCCAGGGTCTGGAAGTAGGAGCTTATGTGGTTAAATATCATATTATCTCTTACTTCCATGCTATGTCAAGGAATTTGCAGATTGTATACAACAGGTAACATCTGGCTTTTACTTGCTTACCAGTTAGGACAAGATAAAGCAAAACAGAAATGTTGCTATATTAATAAGGGGGTCTGTAATCAGGTTAGGTAAAAAGGATATATGTAAAACAAGATATGTAGAAAACCTGAAAAAAAGGACACAACAAAACAATGAACAGGTCGCAAGAACTTTCTCCAGACTAAAGTACCAACAAAGAGCCACAATAAAATATAAAAATAAAAACTTAGCTGTAATGTTGTATCCCAGAGAACACCAAGAGAAATGTAGTAAACCTTTTGTAGGTAAGAATATAAATATAGGCAAAGGGGAAAGAAGAAGACAGGAAAAGGAAGTCCCCTGCAATTGCTTGTAAGAAGGTGGTGGCACAGAAAAGATTTAACAAGGGAAGGAGAACATGACATTCATGGCATGTGGGACCTAGGTCCCATCGTTTGTACCTTTTCCCCCTGGAGGGTGCGTTGGTAGAGGAATCAATGGCGGTAATTGACAAGTCACTGGCACCCTTGCTTAAACCACATCAGGCTGAAAGCCGCTGACTAGTCTCAAGGAAATGACAAAACGAGGTCTGTGGAAGCTTGAATTTAAGGACAGGACAATAAGATTAGAACGTTTCGGCATAGAGCCTTCCTCAGCACACAGGACAAATGAAAATATCACAAGGAACAGAGCACAGTAAACAACTTAATAAATATCCATTGTTACAGGAAGTAGGGTTACAGGAAGTGAGAGAATATAAATATTGACACTGTGAAAAATTTTCAAAAATAAGGTCCACAATAATAATGGACCAGAATATCCAGGGATACATAAACACACACCAATAAGAAAATAGTAGAAATACAAGGAAAAAAGAGAAACATTAGTAGGATAGTATTTGATTAATACCATATGGAGATATGGTGCCAACCAGATAAGCCATATGGCAGTGGGTACAAATAATGGCGTAGATACCATTGCGGCTTGTGCAAAGGCAATGGTCCCTTATCTGAAAGCTACACTTAACAAAGGGAATGTGTGAAGTCTGTATAACAAAAGGACAAGTCTTGCAAAGGCTGCGTCCATATGGATTGGTATCAAAGTGGGAGGTGATAGGACTGTGGTGCCTGTGAACAAGGAGATCACGTAGGTTCTTGTTCCATTTAACAATAATATATCACGTAGGTTCTTGTTCCATTTGAACACAATAAACCAATCTCCATCTATTTCCTTTTCCTCTTTTCCTTCCCCTTCATCTATGTTTATTCTTTTATCTACGGCACTAAGAGTTAACTACGTTTGGGAGGTAATCAATTATTATACAAATATTCTTTTAAGCTGGAACATACTGCAATATGTGCTTTTTGAAAAATATATTTTCTCTTACTTGGTTAAGGAAAGTAACTCTGCTACTTTGTCCACGTCTTGCATCATTAATATCTTTTCTTCATCTGTACTTGCAAAGTATTCGAAATCCTATGAATAGGCAAAAGCCAAATTTTAAAATTATTTATAAATATAAAGTTATTTTACAAATTTCTTAATGGAAAATAATTTAACCAGTAAAATCCAAGTCTGATTTATAGATATTTTCAAGTCAACCTTAGTATCATCTGTGTAAATTTCTTTGTAAATAACTTAATGAATGTATATTTTATTTTGGTCTACAGTTTCATCATATAAGACTTGCTAATAAACTTATTAAGAGCTTGGAAAGAGCTAAAAAAAAAATTAATAAAATCTTATATGATATAATTTTTAAAAGATTAAAAGAAACTGCCCAAATATTTAGATTAAATAAGCTGCTGACATCTACAGAATGAATCAAAGTTTTTTTGTGTTTTTCTCATTTTATGTACCTGTGTAGTCAGAGTCTAGTAACATTTATAATACCCAGACCCGGTTCCTGGTATGTTCAGGGTGTGCTAATATTTGGGATTTCTGTGTAACTGGATCAATACCAGGCTCACCCCTAGTTTATAAGATGTGTGGATCAATGATAAAATAAGCACTAAATAGGTTGTGTGGAACCATGTTACAATAAATAGGAGCCTCTTTTCGTAGCCTCTAAACTGAAGGATACATTATATTGTAATGGCAAATTATAAAAACAGATGTATATTTTACATACAAAATCTTTTCTTTTTCGAGTTACAAAATACTTAAGGCACTTGTTCCTGAAAAATTTAATTTCATTGTGCCTTTAGTGTATCAGGTGCTATCAACAGCTCGGGAATTAAAAACAGAAGTTTTAGTTTATTTGTTCATTTTAGTGCTAAGTTGGTGCTGTAAGCTGTTTTAAAAACAGATTAAACAAGTACATTAAATTTTTTAAAATGTGATGTACAAATTTTAATAAATGCAATATATTTAACAATGAAATCTTTGAATAGACAAAAAAAAAAAAAAATTGGCATTCTTAATGACCCCTCAAAAGCCAGCCCAGATGCACAGTAAGAGAACCAATGACTTTAGCTGTCCATTTTAACCCACTGATTATGTATATTTTACCTTTATAATGGTTCTTAGTGTTTTCCTCTCCTTTTTGAGTTGTTTCTTGAGTGCATCTTTTTCTTTTCTAGCTATAGTTGCCTATGAAAATGGTTTGAAGAAATCAAAGCTGAGCACACACAGAATATAAAAACAAAACAAATATTAAGAGTCTCACAACGACCCATTAAAAGGCCTTGTTTCAGTAACCAATGTGGTGTTGATAGGACTGTTGATTATTAAGTAAGTATGTACTGTACTTTGAAAATGCTAATTTAATTAAATCTAATGAAATCTAGTTAAATAATCTTCATAAATCGCTATTATAGAGCTTCCTTTTAGGTTTTGCATTGTCAGTGTAATTATACTAATAAGAAGTAAGCATCCCCTGTGATTGTAAATATTGACACTGGTGCATGAAAATTGTAATCATCCAACCATATCCAAACTGAGACGTGGACAGTCATTGGTAAAGTTTTATTAAATTAACCTGTGACATGGTCAGATGTTGCCCTTGTGCATAAAAAAACGGAAAAGGATGATGTTATCAAAGCCCCAGTGACATAACAATGGTTAATTGGAAAAGTATCCCCTTTTAAGCAACCGGCAGCATAGACATTCTGGTAAATTTTTTTTAAAATTTAATTTTGACGAGGAAAGGAGAATTTATGTGAGCACTGAGAATTAATAGAAACAGCACCTACCAACCATTGTGGAGGGAACATGGGGGTGGGGACACATGACACACCTAGAGACTTGCACATCTTTATTGGTACAATGAGATCAAAATGCATGAGCAAAACCCATATGATCTAAAATGGGTTTTCTGATATCAAAAGGCTGACAACAACATGAATCATTTTTTTTAAAAAGGCCGTTACCAATTATTTGGCAAAAATAGCTAACTATTAATCTGTGAAGCCCTAATTAAGAATATACGCTTTATATAGTCAAATAAAAAAGAACAGTTACGAAAATGTTCATAAACGTACATAAAATTTTAAAAATTTAATATTGAAATAATCCTAAATAGGAATATTACTATCATTTCCATGTTTGTTTTTATTCAAAGGTGTGTTGTTTTTTCCCAATATGTCATCAATAGAATTATAAGACATCTCCAGGCAAATGGAGATAGAGCATGAATATTTTTATAAAATAGATTTTATAACCAATCTTTTTCTTTTCTTTTCAATTTTTTTTTTGGGCACTCTCTTTAATTGTTGTGATGCGTAAGTAAACATTCGTGTTCAATTGGAAAGGAAATAGTTCCAGGTTCGAAAAAATTTGACAATTTATTAAAATTAAAGACTAACAAAAAGTATTTTTAGGTGAAGAAAAAGAGACAAATGTCTGTACTTGAGAAATGACTAGCAAAAACACTTCATGGAACAGCAATATTTTTTTTTCTGGAATAATTTTTAAATAGAAGCCATTTTTCACAATCATGGATAATCACATGTCTGCTTCCATAAGGCTATATAGATGTAAGAAACATAGAATGTTTAGGTATCTTCAAATAGATACCAAATAAGTCAAGTTTAAATCATATAACAGACCTGTTTACCCTCAAACCCTTAAAATCGTACAATATCATCATATAATCGTTCAATACATTCTCTTTATAGAGCAAAAACGTGCTGTATATATAATGTATACACCTCAAAATTGTACATTGTACGCAAAAATCGTAAGAGTAAACAGGTCTGATATACCAAAAGAGACTTTTTTACCTGCGCTTTAGCTGCCTCTTCTTCTCTTTCTTTTTTTTTCCGTTCTGTTTCCAAAATTTCTTGACGTTTCTTTAAAGGAGGAGAGATGAGAGACAAATGAAAATGCTAAAATTATAATATTACACATACAAGAAATTTATCAGCTATGCTATAAAGAGAGTAGACTTTGTTTTAGATATGATGTTAGAATAACTGCTTCCAGCCCATGCATTTAAAGTTAGATCTCAGCACCTTACAGTAGAAATTCAGTTATTGGGTAAGATCAGTAAGAAGAAAGAAACAACAGATTGACTTGTTTCATTCAATTCTTTTCTTGTGCCTATGAAAGCAATAATAAGTGTCAAGTGTGTTTCAATGTGATACAAACTGATTAAAACTCCTATATCTCAATTAGTGGGAAAATGAATAAAGGGATGAGCAGTAACTGCTGCTATATTTTGGTGAAATAGAGTAAGTCATATCAGGGTGTCGTAAGCCCCCCCCCCTCCCCAAATTGGAAACTATAAGCTCACTTTTCTCCCTAATGTGGATTGGACACCATTGGTGTGAACATTTTGTTGTAACAACTGGTAGTAAGTCTTATTAATTAATATTGAATAAAAGTGATACAAACTGATTAAAACTCCTATATCTCAATTAGTGGGAAAATGAATAAAGGGATGAGCAGTAACTGCTGCTATATTTTGGGGAAATAGAGTAAGTCATATCAGGGTGTCGTAAGCCCCCCCCCCCTCCCCAAATTGGAAACTATAAGCTCACTTTTCTCCCTAATGTGGATTGGACACCATTGGTGTGAACATTTTGTTGTAACAACTGGTAGTAAGTCTTATTAATTAATATTGAATAAAGCTGGTTGGTGTGAGCACAGGGAAATTAAACAGACAGTAAACCAGGACCAACCACTAAAGGAAAAGAAGGTATTTTCCAAGGCAGGTTGCGATATTAACAGAAATTTATATGTATGCCTTGGAAATAAAATCCATGAAAAATATCATTCAAAGATATTTAAATCCGATGGACATTGTTGCCCCAAATTCAAAGAAAATGTATACTTACTCTCTCCTCTTCCTCAACTCTTTGTCTAACAGCCTCTTGCTTGGCTCGCTTTACAGCATTTTTCTTTTCTTTTTCTTCTTCTCTAAATTTAATTATTCTAGGATCACAGGCATAGGCATTATCTGTTTAAGAAAAGTTTTCACATCTTGTAGTATGCAGAGAGAAGGATGAAAACTAATGGTAAATATTATAGATTTTTTAAATTCCAAAAACTCATTTTAATTCCAACATAATGTTAAATATTTGATTTATTATATCTTATTTATCATTATCAAAAGGGTTCCCTTTTTTTCCGGACACAGTGTATAGAGCACAGTGGGTTTATAAGGGAAAAAAAGGAGACTATTCTGAGTCTGATATGATATACAAGGGGTCCTTAAAATATAGTGTTGGACATAGAAAAATAAGGTAATAAGCTAACAATTACTTCAAAAGTTTATTTCAATTGACCAACATTTATAATTGTAGGCAATACTTATTCTGTACTGGAATGAGATTTTGGCCAACCATTTCACAAAGTAGATATTTTTGTAATAAATTTGTCAAATGTAACATTTATTTACCTAATAAATCTGTCAAAAGCCTATATCAAGCTAACACAGAGCTTCCAAACTTTTCATGCTGGCGACACACTGTTAGACATGCATAATCTCTAAACACAGTATGTTGGTCGTACCAGCATACTTGGGATTAAACTAACCCATTTTAAGGCAAACAGGCACAACATATCTCATGAAAACCTTTCATTTATATTGTGGATGCAATTTGTAAAATGCAAATCCAAAAGCTAATCCACCTGCTTTATATATCATTTTCTGCTGGTTCCTGCTCGTGAGAAACACGTCTCTGAGGAAACTCGGGGGCATCCACATGGGTTTTGCCTCTTCGTGGCAAGGCAGACTATTAGGGAGGTACTGTTCTTCCGAAGCTAAAAAGCCAACGCAACAGGGGTAGTAACGTCGTAACATGATTACTTGTTGCCATTGATGGATTTGAGGCTTGGGTGGCGGTTAAAACCCATGCCGATGATTTTAGCTACGCGGCCGTGAGAAAGCTGCTCCTAGGTGACTGTTTCGTCCCAGCTTATCGTCCCAACCGAAAGACTCCGTTGGGTGGTGGCAACGCAACACCATTCCTCTGGAGGGGAAGCAAACCCACTCAGTCTCCAGGGAGAGTGGACTGCAAATGCTTTAAACGTGTTTTCGGTCGACCGGACATCCCCCCCACCACACAGTCTGACGGCGAGGAAACCTGGCGTGCGGGGGGTGGGGGGATTAAGAGCACGGGCTCGTCGACCCGAAGCCATTTCCCAATGTGACGTATATATCATTTTAACAGACTCCAATCATTATATCAACTTATTCTTCTTCTTCAAGAAGTGAAAAGCTCATCACTCAGTTGAAAGAAATGGACTCCTCATCCAATCAGAGTCTTGGATTCTAGCATTTGGGAAGTGAGGATGAAAATTCTCTTGGACAAATTACAAATGGTCCACAATTAGCAATCTATTAATCACATTTTAGCTTGCAATTGGCGGTTTTGTAAATTTTTTCAAAATTCTTTCATTTTCCTGTTTCAAATTACTATTTTGTCTCCCAATTGAAGCTATTGCACCTACATTGCAGAGCAGTTTGCCTCAATCGTTTAGGGACATTGAAAATGATACAAAGTAATTTAAGAACCATTTCAAGACTTTTTTCTTTAAATATATTTTAGGACATTTAAAAAATATATATGCCAATTTTATGCACAAAGTTTATTTTGAATTATTTCACAAAATTCAAAAAGCTTATTTTCCTTTAAAAAAAATAATTCTACATCATTTTCTTCAATTCATTGGTCTATACATGAGAAGCACCCAACCAAGGAATTTCTGTGTAGTATCAGTTTGTTAAATTTTGAACTAATTTCTTCACAATTATTCGTAAAATAAATGTTATTGACGGGGTCTGCTTCTAATATAATTTACCATTTGCACCATTATGTTCATAACTTTGTCTTAATTCATTTACAGCTGTCTTAAAATTGTTGGAATGGCTAATTTTTGCACTACACACCTAAACTCTGCAGGCGACACACTTCTGTGTTGTGACACAAAGTTTGGAAAGCACTCGGCTAACAGAATGGAGACTCAAAACAAAAAGTCTTACCAACCAGCTGCCGCAATCTAACCATTTCCTCTCTTTTTAATTTTTGGCGTGCAGCTTTATTCTGCTTCTCTATCCATCTTCTCTCCTCACGACTGTAATTAAAAAGGTTTTTAACAATCAATCTACTTTGTGAATAATGACAGCTTCAAGTTTAAATGTCATAAATAATCATTTTGAAAAAACAAAATTTAAACAATTCATTATTTTTAAAATATATAGGTGTACATTGCTAGTAGGTTAATGGTTCAGTTTTTAGAACTTTACTATGTGCAGTTATGATAATGAAAGATTTAGAAACAAAACAGCATGTTTGGTGGGACAGTGAACACGCTGGCACCTACGCCTTTTATTTGCTATATCCTCAAGTGACAGCATGTGATTTTAAACAAGGAGATGGGATTTTAGAGACCTTTTTAGAATCAGTTTCTATGGGGGAGCTCCTTATACCTTCCATATGTCTTACAAATTAATGATGATTAAGAATTTGCTAGAGCAGCCGCAAAGCCGAGACGTGCATGAGCGTTGGGGCTCTGCGGAGCACAGGTAGGGAACCACTATTCTAAGTTAATACATCTTTTGACTGAGATGGGGAGGTGTTGAAAATAATTTTAAGTACAGTGATACCTCGATATAAAACTGACAGGGTTTTACAATATTTAATTTTTTTCAAAGAATATATACATGTTTTCATGTATAAGTGTTTCCCAGCCTATTCTGTGGTCTGCACCCTGAATGAATTTGTTTTACTATTCTTGCACCCCTTACAATTTTTTTGACTAAGTCTCGCAACCCGTAAAAGAGTAACAATGTATAATTAATTTTTTTTTTAAATGACAACTAATTTGTTTATTGAATTACAAATATAACTGTAAGAAAATTAAATTGTGACTTACAAAATAAGGTAAAATGTTAATGAAAAATTGAAAAAATTATATTAGCTTCATTTGGCAAATTAACAAGGCTGTACAAAGTGTTGTCTGTTTAAAATGTTGTCTGTTCCAAGACTACTTTTCTTCATTGCATTATGCATCAACAGTGAAGTGAACTATATTTACTCCCATGATCTCAATCGTCAGTTCAAAGAATTTCTGATGTAAATAAAAACAGAATATTCTAACTTACTCTAACATGCTTCTGTTTAGTGACTCATTTTGGGGAAGTAGTTTCACTATTTTTTTTTATCAGAGAGCTGAGATTTTCTTGAATGGAAATGAGAGCCCTAAGTTGTTTCTTTACTAAAGCCAATGGTTTTGGAAATTAGCCTTTTCTGAAGATTTAACCAAAATGTGAATGAATCGATCTCAGACTTCAAGCTGTAACCAAGCTTGTCTCCAGAATGTACCAATGTGAAGGCAATGGGAAAAAACAAATTCTTTTCGAGGCCCAATTAATAGTGTGGGCTTTGATTTATTTTCAAGCTGTGAAAGTTATCACAAGAAGAAGCATGCCATTCCTACGCGAGTTTGTTAGTGCTTTCCTACTTCTCACTTCAAGATTTTTCTTCAATACTATACAATACAGGGTATGTGAAATCTGGTTACTGAGAAATGTTATCTCATGAGAACTTGCAAACAATTTTGAGTACTAACTTTGAGCACACTTTGACAAGGAAAAAAGTGTTTTACATGTTTTAAATATTTGTTTCTAAATAAATGAGTGAGATATTCTGATCATACTTGTAGGCCATTTTAATTTTGGCAAAACCCCGAGTGAGATATTCTGATCATACTTGTAGGCCATTTTAATTTTGGCAAAACCCACCCAGCCCCTAGAACCAGACGAGATCTTCTTGCCGACCCTTGCACTAAAAAGTTTGCTGTCCTCTGAACTAGTAGATGACAGAATCTGCACAGAGATACTGAACCATACAATCTATAGACCCCACAAAAAAACTGAGAAATTAGGGACACAGAAGAGATCCTAACTATCTGGAAGACAGGAATTATCATCACACTGGGACACTTTCATCCCCTTTTCCGAGTATAGGTAGAGCTTAGAGACTGACTGTATGTGACTTTTCTGGTTTGGGCCGAAACCAAACCAAAAGTTAAAAATGACTTTCAAACATAACTGAAACCAAAAGCTTAATGAGATTTTCGGCCGACATCAAAATCGAAAGAACTAGGTATTTTGAAACTTGTTCACATACCAGTTCTGCTCACATCGAAAAATGACGGAAAAACATTTGTGGCCATATATAATTGGCTATATGGTAACCTCGGATTTTTGTGTTTTACATAAGTTTTCAAATAATAAACTAATTGTGTCATCAATTACGTAAAATATTTGTCTTATAGTGATGCTCATATAATGTACCCAACAAAGTAAACCTATTGTTTTTTTTGCTGTGCCACTTTGACCATTCGGTAAGCTATAAACATCTACTTTGTTTTTAGACAACCAAACTTATGGGACAAAATATATGATAATGTCACGAAACTCCCACGCTGATGACAACATCAATATAAACAACCACAAATTTGAGGGAGTGGCTACATTCAAATATCTAGGGGCAACTATAAACGAGCACAATGAAATAATGTAGGAGGTGAAAGATAAGATAACAGCAGGCAACCGTTGCTATTTCAACTTACAAAAGCTACTGGGAAGCCAAAACCTCTCAAGGGGAACAAAGAAGACAATATACACTACTATCATAAGACCAGTGCCAGTAGTAACTTACACTAGTGAGACTTGGACCCTTAACCAAAAAAGCAGAGAACCTTCTCAATACATGCGAGAGGAAAATCCTCAGAAAAATATACAGCCCAATGATGGAAAATGATATCTGGCGAATCCGTACAAACCAAGAGCTATACCAATTGTACAAAGACCCACCCATAGTTGCAACAATAAAAAAAGACAGACTGCGCTGGGCAGGACATATTGAAAGGATGCCGGACTGTATAGCAGCAAAGGTGATATACAGGCAGAAACCTAGGGGCAGACGACTCACTGAATGTATGTATGGGATGTATTATTATTCCTTCTTTCATGCCTGTCTCTCTATTCATAACTAGTTGACTGTCAAGCGTTATCTCAATGTCTTGGTACTTACTTTTCACCTTTTTCTTTTTCTTCTTCATCAAGATATGAAAACTCTCTCCAGGAATCAAACTCATACCTGGGTAAAGAAGAATTTTTAAACTTATTTGAAGGATATGAGTTATTAATTTGGTGTTGCAGATTCAATTTTCTATGGTATATGATAAATCTTTCTTCAACAGTGCATAGCTGAAATATTATTTCAAAAGGAGAATAATACTTCAAGCCCTTTAAAGCCTTTGATACTGAGAAATGTTCCAATTTTTCAGTCTGTGTTAAATCCATTCTTCAGGAGAATGATGTTTCAGCCACAAACACTGATCCCTAGAACCACAGTCCGCATCAGAAAATGTGTAGAAAATTTTGAGGTCACAACATAGCGCACTATTTGTCAGAAGTTACTGTTACAGCTCGTCTCTTAAACTGTATTATTTGTTATGTTGTTAGGTTAGTCATTTTTCGGTGGTGAAAAGGTTGAAAAAAAAAAATGAACATTTTCTATTTTCAACAACAGCATTTGCTGAAAATATGGTGAATGATTTACAAGATCATATTTTATATAATATTTCAATAAGGAATTTAGTGAAATTATAGAAAATGATTTTGACTATCAATTGAATACCATAAAAAAATAAAAATTGCATTATCATTGGCATGCAAAAGACCAAAAAAAAACTTTTATAAATGGCTAAAAAATGTTCCTTGGATAGTTGACTTGTAAGTTATTGGCACACTGAATGAACTAGAAGTCTTACTTTGACACACTAATATCAAAGGGTTGTTGGCTCCTGCTTTTGAACAAATATTACATTACAGTGTTTAGCTGTGTGACTGTAAGTGTAAAATATTTTGGTATTTTTAGGGTTTGTGAAGATTACAAATATTCTTCAATGTATTGAAGTATATATACCAATTTGTAAATGTTAATTTTAAAGTCACAAAAATGATGTTTTTGAAAAATTTAAATTTAAAAAAAATCATTTACTTTCAGTGTCAAAAAATTGTATTGATAATGGAAAAGTAGAACAAAAAAAATAACTTAAGCCACATTTAAATAACATTTCAAGCTTACCAAAATGAATAAAATGTGTTGACCTCATCAAAGGGCGTGTTTTCATCTCCTAGTTTTGGAACTCTTTTCTTAGTTGACCATCTGAAAAAGACAAATTTTCAATGTGTCTATTTTACTTTATATTATTCCCTTCAGAATCAAATCTTTACAAAATATATGTATTTTTGTTAGCAAAAACACACATAGACAGTCTCATAGACAGTGTTACCACGATGGAAATATCTTGTTACATCTACCGATTATTGTGAAGTCTGTTTATTTTTTTGGGATGTTTAGTTACTTTTACTTTGCCTTGGTACTTATCCAATAACTTTCTAATTTAAGTAATTTTCATAATAATTATAACTTAAATATCTAAGTACACATACAGGGTGTAAATTTCCATAAACACGTGCATATAGCGCAGCTCGCTATCAAACAGAAATAAAACACATACTACTTCCACAAAGTTCCTTTCGAGACTGCTGCACGACTAAAACTTACATCACAATACAGTCTAGACAATACGCCACAATCAGCATAAAAATATGTCACTTAGTTAAGCGCAGGAAGAGCGTTCATTAAACTTATAAAACTCTCAAACACACATTGCGCGTAATAAAACATAATATTCAGTCACAACAGTTATCAATGAACTCCCATGCTCGACACTACACAAAACTGATACATCATCTCCCCAATATCCCTTCTCCCTACTTACTGTCTCCCACACCCATCGAAACATTCCCTCTAACCACATGCCTCTACCAAAGTCATCCCTCAGACCACAATACTCCCATGTAAGCAACACACTACTGTCATTTCAAATAACTGCAGAGTTTAAGCCCTTGCCTAAACCCATTCCAAAAATAACATGCATCAAACCTAATAACCCCAATGAGATTTCTATACAAAAGATCATAATATTTTTATTTTTACCAATTTATATAATTATACGATGAATGAATTCAGCATAATATTCAAAATTCTTAAAAGATATATTGTTGACATTACTTGGTGATATTAAATCCTAGCAATGATTCCCTGCAAAAATTCTGATTTTCTGCACAATATCACCATATTTAATGAATCAAATACTCTCCAATTAGTGATCTCAATTTCCCTGTTTTTCTTTTCTTATTTCTTATATTTTACATATTTCCAAAATATTTTTGTCCGTTAAAATCTTATATTTCACAGTCATGAAACATACATTCTTTTACTTCCTGCAATTTTTGGGATAGCACACATATTTCAGTTTTTGGATAACCTAACTTCTGGCAATAGTATACAAGGTGAACACTGTTTTTTAATTGTTTTCAATATTTTGTTGTTTCTTGTTTTGTCTCGTCTGCCGAAGAAGGCTCTTAGCTGAAACGTCCTCTTTTATTTTCATTTAAAGCTTCAACATACCTTGTTTCACTATTCCCTTCACAAAGTTTGAACACATTCCAATAATTATTACTAAATTAAGCCATTTATTTCAGATTCTAAAGGGACTAAGTTTGATATTTTCAAAACAATAAATGCATTGATTAAAATTTGTATATCAAAAGTACCTTGCATTTCTTTCAAACACAGGTCGGTAAATCTCAAAGAAGTTATCCTTAGAACTTATTGGAACATCATCATCAAATTCAGGATCCACACTGTCAAATGAACGTCTCTTTTGCTTATTGCCCAGAATTTCATAAGCTGTTTAAAAACATTAAAACAAATCATATTTTTTGTAACAAATTGTAGAGCAGGAATTGGGAATTAATCTTGTTATTAACTAATTTTGCATACATTTTAAAATGCACCTGTAGATTATCTATATCTATATCAGCTCAGTACATCCCATACATAATTCTATTGATATTTTAGCCCTAGTTATTTATAGCATATTTGTTCCACATAATCAATTTGGGATAATCAATCAAGGTAAGTTCTTGATTTATAATTAGGGAAATATTGAACAGCTTTAAAGTTTAAAGCCAATTGCTCCTTATGATGTGGTCTGTGCAAGGGCCTGAAAGCAATTTATAATTTATTGCATAGTATCTTAACCCTAGGGGTGCAAAGGCAGTACCACAGGGTGCAGGAAAACCATATATTTTAAAACACAAAATACTTATTGCAGTACTTTTTAAAATGTTATGAAATTGAGCAGGCGCTGTGCTGATTTATAGCATATATGAAAACAATATATACTAATCCCAATGCAACGAAATCTATTTCTTCCACTTGCATTTGGCACTTGCACATCATATCTGTGCATAGTTCTATAGTTTTAAGCACAGTTTTTTGTAAATGATATAAGAGTTTAAAGGATTTTTCTTTTTAAAGAAATATATTTCTTTAATTTTTTATTGCATTATTAATCCTGTTATGGAACAAGATTAATAGATGGCATTATACATGGCCATGACATTTTAGGAATACTTTTCACATAAAGTTACTATTTTGCATTATATGTGGATCACATTACACGCAATAATACACAGTAATATTCTCATAACGGCCCGCTTTGTATGGCTGGCTTATTTTAACTACAGATTCATTGTCATGGCATATAAAAGTTAAGAAAATTTTTCAATAACAAAAAAAAACCCTACCAACAAATTATGGGAAATTAACCAGAAATTGTCAAAGACATCTAACCAATAAGTAAAATAAACTTAGGCTAGGAGATGTTTTTACAATTTTTAAAGAAATCTTACAAATTTAACACTTTGGGCTTGAAAAGAGTTAACGTTTGATTCAATTCAGTTTTTCAATATAATTGGATTATTATTCTTAACTTTAGCAAGCATCAAAATTATTAAAAGTACAACCCTTTTTTTTTTAAATTGTTTAAGCATGTATTTTTGTTATTTTGGAAAGATTTCCTTATTTCCTCATCTTGACACAAATGGTTGTTAGTCATTCCAAAAATCTTGATTGCATAAGTACCCAATAAATACTTCAACTCATCTACCTCACAGTGTGAAATATATAAAGAGGCTGCTGTATTCAAAACAAATCTACAACTAATTAAAAAGAAGGATAAGAATGCTTGCTCAAATAAAGTACATTAATTATAATAGACTTTTAAACGAGGTTTCTTTGAGCGGTATGTGTGAACAAGGTGTACCTCAGGGAGTTTTTAGTCATGAGAAAAAAACTTAAGAGAATGCTTACCTTACATCTGATTAGAAATGTTATTTTAGTAATATACAGAATCTAGTATTTACAAAGGAGACTGAATACTGAGATATACTATTTTAATTTTCAGTAACTATGTTTTCATTCAAGGCTATTTTGTGCTCATGTTTGAACATACCTTTTGTGATGCAAGTAAAATAGTCATCATCTCCTTCTTTCACCAATTTACCTCGAGCTTTTCTTTTATCAGGGTGATGAGTTAAAACTTTTTGTTTGTCTGTCAATAAAAAGGCTTGGTCATCAATCATTTTTTAATTTAAAGGAATTAAGGTGAAATTTAGCTTACCACGGTCCCAACCTAAAGTTTTTACCAATTTAATATTGATATTTACTTTTTTAAAAGTATGTTTTAGCCTCTTACAATATACTGAGTTAATTAAGGCATATTTTGTTGCATTACCTTGAAGTTTTATAATTTATACCAACTCTTTTTTTTAATCGGTTTGATTCATTTACTAAATACAATAAGCCAATTGAATGGCATGTTTTTTACATCAAAACAAGCATCTGCTTTTCAAATTGTGTGGTTTAATTTATAATTTCACTTGTTACTCATAAGTTGATCTAAACTGTTACATTATTGTAAATCTCCTATTTAATAACTGCCTAGAAACAAAGGTCTACAGGACCTTTGAGTCGCCAACAAACTATCCCATCTTATACAAAAGATGATGTCTAACTCATAATGTTGAATCAAAGGGAGTTCCAGATATGACAGGGTCTCACACAAGCAGACTCACTTTCATGTATCCTGTTTAACATCACATTAGAAAAATGTTTGCAAAACACAAAACATGCATGTGGGCATCAGTGAACCGATCACACAATATTTCCACAGAGACCTTACAGAATCACAACCAACAGGAACATTAAATTTCCAACCATTGAAGTACCTAACATATAGAGACATTATGGCTCCACAGAGAAGAAATAGCAAAGACACCTTAAAACCATTTAAAGAGCTTGAAGTTGCTTTGGTTAAGGCTGGATTTGAGGTGAATGAATCAACCAATAATCAGTGTCAGAAACAATCAAAAATAAATATAACCATCCTTACATTTTTAGGGACACATTAATTTATAATAATTAGCTATTTAAAAATTTGATTTAAAAAAAAAAATGACTTACAAGCTCTTTTAATTTGGTCATCAGAAGCTTTGTATCTAAGCTTGCTCAACCCCAGCACAGCATAATGGTCTTGTTTCTGTAATTTAAGGGCACAGTTGAGTTATTCCTTGTTTAAGTAATAAAAATTCACATTAAGGTTAAGTCACATGCATTTTAATAAATAATTTCAAGGTCAACTTAGCAGCCCTAAGAAAAATTGCTTATTTTGAACCCTCATATATCAAATAAAAAAATTTGCAATTAAAATGGCAAAACAAATTTATTTAATAGAGAATGAAACACATGGGCACACTAGCGCTTGTTTCTTGAATTGATCTAGTAGAAACTTTATCTAGTAGATGGTCATTGTATCTGAATGATGATGATGATCTAGTTCAAAAGGTAGGAATATCTTTCTTTTTTTTAAATTACCTATGAGTCTATGCTTGCTTAAGCCCTTATATTAGAATCAGAATGTAAAATAAACTTGTATTTATCTGTCCTTCATTTTTTTAAAACATAAATTTCATAACTAGTTTTCCATTTCTTTTTCTCTAAACTGATGACAGCAATAATTCAAAGAGCATATTAAAAATTAAAATTTCCTTTCTAGTATCTACATGGTATGTAGTAGTAGTAGATAAGGCAATATTACGACCATTAGGTAGGCAAGAATACCAAATTTAGATCCTTAGCTGGGATGGGGAGCTTCAAATATTTTGATAATTATTTGATGCTACAAATAGTATTAAATAATGATGAAATTATCTTATTAAACTGGATGCTAGATTTTCCATTATGGCCAACATCAATTTACGTCTGTGTATAAAAATTTAATGCCTTTCTTTCTGTAAATTAGCTGAACTAGAGCCTCATGACAGTAACAGAAGCAAGTTAGACTGGAAGGTGAAAGCAAATAAAATTTCAGTAGAGATCTTCTGATCCGGAACAGAACAGCTACCAGAGAGGGGTTTGTGATCACAGCAAGACTAAGGACGGTGAACACGATCCTGCAATGGAAAAAAAAAAACAAGGCCACCGCCCAAGGCACCACATTGGACCAGATATATCTTTTTCTTTAATCTTAAATGTAAATAAGTCATTACATTTTTAAAAATCCTTGACTAGCCTACTTGATAGGATTTTTCTATTAACTATTGTCATTTAATGCTACCCATTTTTAATTTTTTCATCACCCTTTTAATAAACAAACTTTAATAGCAGTTATTTTACCAAATTTATAAATTAAGGGAATATTTTTAAAATGTTGGATTAAAAAAATCATTTTCACTAACATTGACTATTGAATTTGAAAGGTGGGCCAGCTTATTGATGACAAGCAAATTAAATTGCAACTTGATTATTGAAAGTGCTACTAAAGCAAAGGAGAATGACTATCCATTCAAACAAGGAAACATTTATAATTTTTCCATTTTCTTGACTCATGTTGTGCATATTGGCAATGTAACAATCTTTGACTAGTGCCAGTCTGTGGACCACCTGAAGCAGTACTGCTTAAAATTGTGGTCAGTCAAATGAGACCAGTCCACTTCAAACCTTGTCCAATTTGTTCAAGGGATGCGTGTTAAGGTGTGGAGATTAAATGTGTAGCTGTTGCTATGTGTAACAGCTCCATAATTACAAGAATGAATTGTTTTGTTATTCTTAGTATTAAGATAAAAATGTGAATTTCTTGCGCAGAGACAGGAAGAGTGTGTGAGAGAGATATTCGAATGGTCAAGACAGATTTTGTATTGTGATTCTTGCTCTTGCATTGTTTAAATGATACACCTTATAGCATCGGAATGCCTATCTTCAATCTGTGTATATTATAAAGTATATGAAGTGTATGAGATTATGACCATTATGCAATTCCTACTTGGAGACTTATTTCTTATTGTGAATTGTAATATGTGAATAGAAAAGTTGTTGAGTCCCTTTCCTGAGTGTATTTTATGCTTTGGTATGGTATGGCAGCTTCAGTTTTTCATTATGTATTAGAAGAAGTTTTTTTAAAATTAATGTTAAAAAATTCAAATATAAATATATTATACCTTCCACTCTTTTGGATCTAATCTAAGAAGTAATGATTCATCCTCTTCATCAAACTGATCCTCCTCCTCTTCCTCTTCAGATTCACTAGAACTATCATCTAAAGAATGGTGAGAATGAGAGTGAAGACTATGGGCTCTTCTATGGTGCGCTTCAAACCATCGTCCAACTGGTTCAAAATCAAATGATAATAGTGCTGGAAAAATAATTTTAAGAAGAATAATTAAAATTCAATTTATGAACTTGCAGTTACAAAACTCGATTATATTTCAATTATAATCATGAAATTACAATTTAAATAACTTTAAAAAAAAATATTTTACATGATAACTACTGTAAAAATTAGGAAATTGTGGTTTCACAATTTAGTAAGATTTATTTATTTTATTTATATCACATTATATTACAAACTTCATGCATTATTTTTGCATTTATATTTAGTTAAAATTTGGTATGCAGGAAGGCTGATAAAGGGTTCATTTATTGGTTATGATAACCTGAAGTGTTTTTGTTAACAAATATTCTCTGACCTTCATTTTAGAACAGGAGTGGCCAGTTAATAAGAGAAAAAAATAATTTAAAAAATGTCACTTTAGTTTTACATTGTTCTAACTTTGCATTTCTACATTGGCATTTAGAATAAATAAGTAATTCTGTACTGCATTTATTATTTTTATTTTTTTATTTATTAGGTGAAGTGAGTGAAGTGACATGTGACCTGGTAAAAGTAACTCGTATTCAAAATGGCCAGTAAAGCCATGTGGTTCGGTCACCCCTGATTTGGAACATGCATTTAAGGTTTTCAAAATACACGTTTTTTAAAATTATGATTTAATACAAGTATTTAAAATTTTAATTAAGAGGTACAGAATGCTTGTAAAAATTACATCAATGTTGAACAAGGAAAATATATAACTATAATATAATTATATCTATCAACTGTATCAATATAACTATTGCATCCAGATACATTTTCACCCCTAAGGAGAATTAAAAATTAAATAAACATAAAATTTCTCTTACAAAGAAAAATTCCAACATTAGATTTTTTCCAAGTATTTAAAAATTAAGTTTGATTAACCGATTACCTACCAGATTGAAAAACCGGCTGAGGCCGAATTAAATCTAGGTCACATTGACAACGATACTAACGTTGGCGCTACCAGCGGCTCGTGGCCATAACAAAAGACACGCCCCGCCGCTCCTGGCGGTTTATGGTAGTTAACCAGTTAAGGGGTTGTTCCTAAAGGACATCTGCAAAAATTATGCATCTCTTCCACCCCCACCCCCAGTGGCTTACACTCCCCCCCCCCCCAGCTAAAATACCATAAAAATTATGAGAGCGTATAATAACTATAAAGAGCAAGGCGTCACTAGATTTAAACTTCTAAATAATTTTAAACATACTGCAATAAAAGCAGCATATAACAAAAAATGCCAGCTTGCAGGCATCGGCAAGATCCTTTACACACCCCCCATCCCCCTATTTGAACTTATCTCCCCTGTTTGAGGGCAACCTTTATCAACAACCCATCAATAATTATTAACTTACATGGTAAAGCACCAAGGATTGCAGTCCCAACACTTTCATTTGGAATCATAATATATCTGCAATATACATTTGTGTGTGTCAATATATAAACAAATTTAATTTCAATTAAATTTAGGCCTAAAAAAATGTTTAACTACCTTTCGACCACTATCTGGATGATGACAAGACTCAGCGTATTGTGATGAATTAAGCATCATCCATGGACATTTCCCTTACCTGTGGCGTGCCATAGGGCTCATTTTTAGGACCTATTCTATTCTCCATGTACACTAGCCAGCTTGGCAGAATGATTGAAAGTCATAGTACATCCCGCAAATTATTTGCGGATGACACAGAACTGTACAAGTGTTTCCACCCTGATCCTTTGGACTGAGCTGCTGCTCTCCAAGCTGTCGAGAGCTGCTGTCTTGTGGTAAATCATGGATGGCATTAAACAGACTTAAATTAAATGACGATAAGACAGAGGCAATTATAATGGTTCTGATGCCAATCTTCGGAAGGTTGCTATTTCATCGATAAAAGTTGGTGCTTCTGAGATCCCCCTTGTCCAACACTGTTAGAGACCTTGGCTTCTACATGGACAGTAAACGTACAGTGATCCTTCAAATCAGTTCTGTGGTCAGGGCTTGATTCTGTCATTTACACGCCCTGGGTCAGTTGCATCCTTAACTTAATAAGAGAACAGCCAATGCCGTAGCAGTCACTCTAATCCAATCAAGATTAGATTACTGTAACAGTTACTTCAAAACCAAATTCAGAGACTCCAGAAGGTACAAAATATTGCAGCACGCATTCTATTGCATATAAAGAAATCTGACCATATCACCCCAGTAGTTAAAGATCTCCACTGGCTTCCTGTGAGTGAGCCCATTGACCACAAAATTCTGTCCCTGCTGTACAGCTCTATAGAAGGCTCTGCATCTGAATATCTTCAAAAACTGATTTCTAGACATGTATCCTTACAGAACCTGCGCTCTTCAACACAGTCCTTACTGAGGGTTCCCTGTGTGGGTGGACACAGAAAGAAGTCCTATGGATTGCGCTCTTTTAAAGCTATTGTGCTTAAATTATCACATTGACTCAATCTTTGAGGGAAATTGAAAATGATAAAAAGTCATTTAAGACTTTTTTCTTTAAATAGATTTTAGGACATTAGGGCACTGTGAGCATGCTAAAATAGCATGTACACAAGCGCTATAAAAGTATTCAATCATCATCATCATAATGTGGCAATAAACATGGATGACATGGTCACCATAGCCTAGGTCGACTATTTTATCAATGTTACTGACTACTACAATTGAGGCATGAATTTTGGAAACTTTATAGATGCCTAACAAAATAATCTAAAGATTTAATTTCAAAGCATACAATTCGTTTTTTGTTGTTGTTTTTTTAAATAATCGAAGACCAAAGGACCATTTTGCATTGACCAGTACTTAGCACTCGTCTGTGTTTTAGTGACCTTTTTTTTTTATTCACAAACTACACAAAGATTTTATAATGTGTCTGCTGATTTCAATGTTGGTTTCACTCAATATGGCATGAAATCTATGTTCCAGTAAATCAAAATGTATCAAACAGAGATTTAGCAATGTTGGGTATATTATATTCGGGGCAGAGGTTATAGTTTCTTGATCATTAATGCAGTGCCTCCACACAAATTGTTGTTTAAAGCTGAGGTTCAAAAGCAATGTTACAATATTTACTAATAAATATTCTAAATATTCACACTTTTTACTGACAAAAATTATTATTTACCGAAACAATTTTAACAATATTTTTAAAATTATTTAGCAAAATTGTTCAAAAAATCTTTACAAAATGTCTTAATATTTGTATAATCTTACGTCATAGGCCATGAGCCATAAGTCTATTTTTTTACCATTTCTTTATTTAATCGCAGTCTCATCCAAGTTGAATTTATCCTGATAAGGATCATTCCAATTTAAAGCAAAAAAAGAACAAATGACAAACACTGAGATTTCTGCTTTATTTTGCTTCATAACTTTTTAAAACATTTATTGTACAATAGATTTTTTTTAAAGGACATTCATAAAGAGGTTTTGCAGACACTGCATTTAGGTGCAAATAACAAGGACAAGTATTTATTGCTTTCCAATTAGTTTTTCTTAAATTATCATTGGTTTTAGGAATTTTTTATTTTAAAAATGACTGGATCTTTAGCAGACTGTTTACTACATTGTCAGCCGGATGTGTGGCCAAATTTTATGTCACTTTTCCCAAGTCTTAGACCAAAATCAATATTCATTGGGTAAATGTAAGGTAAAATTAGTCCTCAGAAACAAAATGTATCGGGTCAGAGAAACTCAGAGGCTTAGTTTACAGTGGTTTCAAACAATGTGGTAGTAACTAGGATGTTAAATGTTAAAATCAGCCCCCACCAACCCCTAAACTCATAAATTTGCAAACCAACCCAAGTACAAGATGTTTTTTAAAAAAATCTGATTTATAATGATATACATCCGTAATAACCTACGTAAATTGTATCTTTATAGACAATATTTGATCAATGGTTGTGCCCCCCCCCCCTTCCCAAAGCCATGTGTTCAAATTATACGGCTGCCCCCTTAAAGCCTTTGGGGGCTGGAGGTAATAAGATTTATATCACCAACCAATGCAGCAGGGAAACACAATTTAAATTATGCAGCATTTTTGTGTGAATCTGGAAATCTGACCAGAAGCCAGAAGAGTGACCAGAAACTTGGCATTACTTCAATGTATCAATGTCATCATAGTATAACCTGATAAAAATTGGTTATTACGCTCATAGCTATTTTGGCAGATTTTACCCCCCCCCCACCCCCCTTTTTTTAAAAACAAATTTTAAACAAAAAGTAGACATTTTTATCAAAATCAAGCATACCCCGCTATCTACACATCTGACGTCACTAATGGATGGACCTATAGTTCCCTGATTTCATTTTAAAAAAGTAAAATGGTTAAGGGAAAAACATTAGCAGAAATTTAACAGCAACCTATTTATTGTAAAGTAAAGCAATTTTTTAGTTAATTTCAAAACAGTAGGCCCTACTAATACTTATACTATATTAAATTTCAAGATATATAATTAATAATATAGTTTAATAGTTAACTAGACCATAAGAGTAACAACACTAAAGGCCCAATTTTCTGAAGGGTCAACCTAGGCTATGAATACTATGATGGACTAGGGTGCAGCAGTCAGGGGGGTGAATATAAAGGGGGTACACCCATCATACAGAAATGTCACTGTAAATCCAGCTCTAAATACTAACACGGTAGGTACTTTAATATAAATTTTTTTTTAATTGAAATGAAATAATTTTTTAAATAATAAAGTTAGAGCAAATTCCAAATAAAAAAAACTGAAACCAGAATCAAATTTTTAGCTTAAGTAGTTTTTGAGCTATGAATTTTTAAAGTGTGAGTTCGTTTGGTACTTTTTACTATGGGCACATCTTGTGACCTCATTCCGCTGTTCGCGTCATGCGCAATGACTATATACTTTATATAAGGCAACGCATTCCCTTATCACTAAAATACTGTTTAGGGTCGACTTAGTTTAAACTTTGAACTTTGGCACATGAATAACTAATTAAAGCTTTCCCTGACCAATGGTTTAATAGTTTTTGCACACGGCAAACTCTTATGAATGAAACTCTGAGGTAGTACTACGATACAGCCATTATGCAAGTGGCTGTGAATGGTTGTCAATGACAATGTTTTGCACACCGTAAATTCTGATAATTTATAATATGGACTCTACCGGGTTGTTAAAGCTAAAATTAAAACATTCCAGTTTAAATGTCTTCAAAATGCATTCTGAAACACAAGTTATCAAATATTTTGATGTAAATAGCGGTAATAAATTAATATTTCCTAAGTATCGACAACTTCCGCCATTAAAAAGGGGGCGTGGCCCACCCCAGGGCGAAATCAGGTTGAGCGAACTGCATGACCTGCTGCGAACGCGTAGAAACATGGCGTCTCTCGTAAAACACATATCGCTGTGAAAATTGGCATACATGTAGATCAATAAATTCCCCAGATGCAAAAAACATTTGGTAGTGACAAGTCTTTTACTTCGACTTAATTTTAATGATGAAAGTTGCCTTACATTTACCAAGGATTTTCTCAAACTCAAAGCTGACCTATTGTAAATGAAAAAGAAATTTATTAAAATTTAGGCCAAGATGTCCTCTGAAGCGAAAGGCCAGACGTGGAACACAATTCTGGGATATAGTAATTATTTTATGAATGAAATAGTTCCACTATCAAAAAATGAAAAACTCGGATTTTCGCGCGCCGACGCCTATTTCCCATACACATTTTTTAGTAGTCTCCCTCGCTTCATCGAGTACCTAAACACAGCAATCAATACCGTCAATAGGCTGGTCAATATGTCAATAGTCTAATAATAATTACTGAAAAGAGACCAAGAAAAAGATGCGGCTATTTCAGATTTAGCGGCCCACGACGACTTTGACTTTGTTTCTCTGAATTTACCAAAGATTTAAACCTTTCAAAAACCACTAAAAGAAATCAACGACACCTGACTATAATTATAAATTTCTATGCTATAATAATTAATTACCTTTAAAACTTTAAACTTTAAAGTCAACTGACAACTCCTCAGTCAACTGCGAACCCGAGAACTGTCAACAGTTACTTGACTTAAGTTACTTTTATTGAATTGGTCTACTTTGGCCAAACAATAATTGAGAAATAGCTTTGTGGGCACTTGAAGAAATTGGAGCAAGTGGTATGCAATTCCTAAGCCTTTTTTTAATGCTAGTTGTTCGGCTATGCGGTAATACCTTTTTCTTTTCGTTGCTCTCCAAGTTTTCGTAAATAAAACCTTTCACTAGCAGTTGAGACGTGCTTCCGTTTCTTTCCTTAAAAATGGAACGTCTATCGTCATGAAAAGTGTTCCAGCACTATTGAGTGTGTGTTGAGGATCCGAACAGTGGAAACTTTTTATTAATTTATTTGGACCTCTACCTCGACCGCTTTTATTTCTCTTTTAAATTTTGTTTTATAAAAATTGTGTTTTAGAAAATTGGATATAAAGTAGTGACAATGTACTGTGGGGCTGTACACTAATTGCTTCAACACAATATCAATAGAAAGAGGGGGTTTGAAAAAGTTTGAAAGTTGACAGTTGTGGACAAGAGGGAATAAACAGAAATTGACGTCGAAGTCCAAAATTGTACCCTTCTTCGATATAATTATATATATATCATTAATAGTCCTCCATAACTTGTTGCAAAAAATATTTGTTTAATGACTATACAAATTCGTATAATTTCAAATGATTCGATGGTTGGATTGTTGGAAATGAGCAAAACAAAGTATGGGAGAACCTTTAAAAAAAATTTTTTTTAAAGAAAAAGAATGCAAACAAACCAGTGGTTCTCAACCTTCCCAATGCCGTGACCCTTTAATACAGTTCCTCATTTCCTCATGTTGTGGTGACCCCCAACCATAAAATTATTTTCGTTGCTACTTCATAAATGTGTGTATTCTGATGGTCTTAGACTACCCCTATAATGTTCCATGGTCGTTTGACCTCCAAAGGGGTCGCAACCCACAGGTTGATAACCGCTGATATAGATAGAAGAAGAAGATTGAAAGTTGTGCGTCCCATGTAATTTATTTGTGTTAATTTGAAGCTGTAAAGTATTTAACATAATTCATCATAATTAGGGGACGATCCCGTGTCCAAATAAGTCTGCTAATTAAATAGAATCCCGTCTAGCAATGTCGGCAACGCCGCGCCCCACACCCCATTGTTGAAAATCGGACTTACTCTATTCATTTCTAAATCACGTCGCCATTCCATGGTATATTTCACCATAATTTTCAAGGGAGGGCGACCACCCACCTGGGCCCCACTCACCCGGGCCACACCCACCCAACCACACCTACAACACAAATATAGAAATAAAATAATCTTCTGAAGAGTAGATATAAAAAACACCCCAAAAAAAAAAAAAAAAAAAAAAAAAAAAAAAAAAAAAAAAAAAAAAAACAATTAATAAAAAAAAAAAAAACAAAAAAAAACACAAAAAAAAAAAAAAAAAAAAAAACTACAAAAAAGAAAAAACCCCCCCCCCCCCCCAAAACCAAAAAAAACACACAAAAAAAACAACAAAAACAAACAAACAACCATTCTTTAAAGATAAAAATAGAAAATGAGATGCAGAAAAAAAAAAAGCAACTTGCATGAGATAAACACAGAGCAAAAAATTGAAATCTTTTGTCACTTTTGATTATAGAGCTTTATTAGACGTAAAGGTTAGTAAGTATTTTTAACCAAAGACAAATAATTATATTGAATTGCTATAAATATAACCATAGTATATAATTATATAATTTACATATTTATATCCCTCACTACTTTTCAGCAGCCTTATTGGGAAAATCCGAAATTGTTTTTTTTTTTTGGAACTTCCTGTCTTCTTGTTATTTAGTGGAATCTGGCTTCTTTAGTAACTTAGTAATAGTAAGACATTCATTCATTCAAAAAACTTGTTAGTTTTCATCAGTTACAGTCTCAATTTATGAACTTAGCTTCTTTATTACCGCCTTGTTATTGTTATCGTTACTTATTGTAATATTATTTATATTTATTACTTTAAACTTTCAATACATACACATTGTCATTGAGAATAGTGACAGTGAATAGTGGCAGTGGGCCTATCCTATTCGGTGAGTATTCGGACCCGGCAACCAGAAGTGAGAGCTTGGGATTTAAAAAAATGTTTTAAATATTATTATTGGGTTTTTAAGATAAAATTTGGTATCGAATGAAAGATAATTGAATGGAGTATATGTTTGTAAACTTAATTCTTCAGTTTAACTAAAATAAACTACCACAAATGACATCCGAATCAAAATGGACCCGGACACGCATCGACGCTATTGGGACTGGGATCCCTTTCCTTTAGACTAGGGTGACCAAATCATGATTTGGAAAAAACTTAACGCTTTCAAGGACTGCTGTTTTTTTTTTTTTTTTTTTTTTTTTTTTTGGGGGGGGGGGGGGGGGATACCCTCCAGTTATAGTGGGGTCTGGGGGACTCGGCCGGGAACTGTTTACTGAAATATGCTCATTTTAACTATGAAATATAACCTAGAAATCTACTTCGGGCACTCAGTCTTTTCCTATGTTTCACTGATGTGATGTGTTGTTTTGTTTTTTGTCTTAAGGTCAACCATTACCAATACTAAAAACATTATTGCAAACTGTGCACTCTGCTCCACTTTCATAGCGTCCCTTTTTAATATAGTTCCACTCTTTGGAATACTCATCCATAAACTTACACTGAAGCTTGGGCATAATTATTGTTTACATGAGAAGATAATATAAAATTAAAGAATAAAGTTCAACATCCAAAACAAACATCTGTCACTCTGACACGAACAGGTCGGTAAGGATCACACATAAGACTAACACATTACACGTAGGGGTCATGGAATCGAAATTGTTTTCTGCACAGTTACATCCATCGCCCACCCCACCCCTGCGGCTTCAAGTCTTGTGTCTTTTGCTATACATTTACATATAAAATAAGATCTATGGCAGGGACACTGTGGTGGAGAGGGAATGGTGCAGCCATCACATGAGCCCACATCACTACTGGCACTGGCTACACAGCTAGTCGAAATATTATTTAAAGCTATATTATAAATTAGGAAGTTTTAGTGATTAGAAAATGTGTTTGGTTTTAAAAAACGGGCCATTTAGGTGTCCCGGGAGACTTTTTTGGGACAATGGGTACGATCGTGAAAAAACGGGACAGTCTCGTTTTTATGGGAAGTTGGGTCATCCTACTTTAGACTAAATGCTATTAAGTTTCAGAGTTTGAACAATTTGTAAATGAAGTTTCAGGTTTCAAGAAATTTTTAGAAATGGATTTCAGGGTTCACAGCTTTCAGTGAGTGGCACCCATGTTCTTAACTATCACCCCCATTGACACATCATACAACATACAATACTATCATACATCATTGAATACATAATGTAATAAACACTTTGCATCTAAATCATATTTTACCACAGAAACTGAATGCAAGATATATGAGGTGAAACATTTTTTGTATGGCCATAAAATTAAAACATCAAATACTCAATTTCTATCTCAGTCCAGTATGATATTAAGCCTGTAGCCTTTGGTGACCGCCACAATGAGCTCTTTCTGTGGACAAATGAATGACCACAAATGGATTGCCATTGATAGATTTGATGGTAGAAATCTTCAATGTACCATGTTCTTTTTATCACATTGTCATACAGGTAAGTCTTATGAAATAGTATATAGAAATAACCCAACCTCATCTAAATATGGTTTTTTATATTACTATCAATATCAACCTTATTTAATTATGAAAATGAAGCTTGAAATACTGCTTTAAGTTAAGTCATATATGTCTTTAATAGTTTATTTGAAAATTTGATATTTTTATAAATATAATTTTTATTCACATGTTAAAAAATATATCCTCACAGCTTAAGTAAAAATAAAAACTTTGAAGATTCAGGTGAATTTTTACATTAGCACCCAAACATATAAAATTTGAGCTACAGTATTTGAGTTCCCCTAGTGCTCTGAAAAGTTTCAATACGCTTAATATAATATTTAAACTCTTATATCCATAGCCTTGTCACTCATAGTCACACATTGTGTCCCTCTACCCCTACAGTTTTTCACCCTAGACCTTTAAAATCAATTGTGGAAGGCTCGAAATTACATACATTTTTATTTTAAAACCTATATACATTAAAACATTTTTTTAAAACTATTTCAGATCACATGATTGGTTTAAAAAGTCAATTATTTTTTGATGTTTTGCATCTAAGGTGAGATTTTTACTTAGTTAAATTTGTATTTTTTTTAGTTTGAAAAAGATAAAATGTCTTATTTATGTATTCTCGCTAGCTGCCCTCCCCCCCAACTCAGTGGTCTAACATTCTTTGATAGCGCTATATATTTTGTGAGAATGAGGGGTGTCATTCCATGCGGGACTCCTAGGTGGCACATGCTCTAGCTATCCAGGAGAGGGTAGTTTTAATAACAACATGAGGCCCTGGGCAAATGAAGGCACTGAGGCTCCTATTTCTCTCTAGCCTATTCAAGTAATATTAAGAAAGGCATCTATGGCCCAAATTGGTCCATACAGTATAACCATTTTTTCTTTCAAACAATTTCAGGGGGGGGGGTTGTTTGCTGTCGTCTAAAGTAGGCATACTGTCGCTCAGGGTGAAGTCTGATTCCATCGCCCGCCAAGTTCATTCTGGTTATGGCACCCCTGATGTTATGCTTTTGGACCCAGCTTAGCTTTGCCCCTGGAAAATCGTCCAAAATTATATATACCAAAGTATAAAATAAAATGTTTGTAAGTTCAATCAAATCATTTTAATTACTAACATGCAGTGCTTTTGATAGATTAAATGGGCGATAGTGTCACTTTCATTGGAGAAGAAGAAGAAATTGAGGGCCCCGAAGTTTCCAAGAATTAATGGGGGAAGGGGGGGGGGGTTGTCTGCGAGGGGGGTTGAGTGAACCCATCCCCAGAGAAGTTTTTATAATTCCAAGGATGCATTTTGGCACATATCTGGACTTAGTTTTTCCTCATTCTCATTGTACATTTATTTGGCAAGATATGATATTGGAAATTTAGATGACCATTGACCTGCTTGTGCCTAAAGAAATCCTTCATTTTTACTTGTTTCCAAAATTTCATCTAGTTCCTAGAGCCCAACAGTATCTGCAAAAAAAAAAAAAAAACGAGTTTCTCCCTCCCTTTATGCTTATAATATATTCATATTTTTTGTACTGCTGTAGAAGACTTAAAGAATCAAATTCCCAATAACCTAAAGAAATCCTTCATTTTTACTTGTTTCCAAAATTTCATCTAGTTCCTAGAGCCCAACAGTATCTGCAAAAAAAAAAAAAAAAACGAGTTTCTCCCTCCCTTTATGCTTATAATATATTCATATTTTTTGTACTGCTGTAGAAGACTTAAAAAATCAAATTCCCAATATTGTAATTTTTAGCTGTAGTAAAACTTTTTTTCTGTTAACATGTAGTTTAAAGTGGGTCTCTTCTGCACTATTTTTTTATGTTTTTCATTTTCAGATCCAATTATTTTTTATATTGTTCTGAGGTCACAAGGTTACTATTGCTGGCAGAAGATGACTATACACATTTAAAAGATTATATAGTGAGTTTTCTGAAACATTTAAATTTAAGTCAGACACACTGTTCCTCTGCAATTTTTCTTAACCTCTTCTCCTTAATAATCCTAGTACCATCTTTTTAATTAATAGATATTAATTAAACAGATGGTAATAAGATTACTTACTTCTTATTGTATTTTAGTTCTTTAATGCTTAGATAGACAAATCTGTATATTTTAACCAGGTTGTGGTCCTGTATGTTTAGCTCATTAAAAAATGGAATAGGTGAAAAACAGAAACAACTTTAGATAAAACGAACAGCTTTGCTTGGCATGCATAAGGTCTTTGGGGGATATGGTCTGGGTCCATTTCTTTGACTTGGCCTAGCCAGGACAGCACTTCTCACTCAGATTTTAAAACATACTGAACACTTTATGTTGGGCACCTTTCTTCATCTATAAATTTCTATTTTATAAGTTAAAATTTCACTAAATGCACAGGAAGCTTAATTTAGTAAATTAATAATGCATGTGTGCTGCTTTACAAATTGTCTTTACTGAAAATTCCTTTTAATTAAAAATTTGAAAAAATAAATCTTAAAGGTACCTCTTGAAGTTGGGGTTGTACATCACTTGAAGGTACCCAGTAGCACAAGTGAAAAGGTATTTTATGTATATTTTAATATTATTTATTACAAATAGATGATGTCAAATGTGTGGAAGAAAGGGATAGGATCCTAAGGAAAATATGTAGTTGGAGTGAGTGAATCTGATCTCATGAATGATGTTCTGGTAGATCAATAGTGCTCAAACTTTTTCAGGTCATTGCCCCCTTAAGGCCATAAACTTCCTGACCCCATTGTCACAAACATTTAGACCCCCCCCCCCGCCATTCCCTCAAATATTACATCACAAACCTGCTCTTCACCCCCCCCCCACCCACACACACACACTTTAAAATAGTCATTTAAAATTAACCATAAACTTCCTGACCCCATTGTCACAAACATTTAGACCCCCCCCCCGCCATTCCCTCAAATATTACATCCCAAACCTGCTCTTCCCCCCCCCCCCCACCCACACACACACACTTTAAAATAGTCATTTAAAATTAAAGATTGTTTCATTTGTTTTTATCATCATTTAATATGTATTTAATGTTGCTCTGGTCCAATTTATGGTAACCTCTGCCCTAGAGCATTAGTAAGATCAGTTTTTCTGGTATTTTTGTTGCTTACCACTTCACATAACGCCACTGATGTGGGAAAGGGATGCTTAGGGGGCGGTATGCTCCAGTCTATATATTAAGGACAGCTTTCTCGGTCAGCTGTAGAGTTTTTCATTGGAAGCCAAAATATTGACCCACCCCATGCAACACTAACCCTAGCTACGCCTCTAATTCCCAGAATTCTGTCTTCTACTTTTTCAACATAAATTAATGCCTACTGTCAGGGTCCCTGCACCTTTGACTTTCATCCTCCAAGCTGTTATGTAGCTTGATCATCCTGAATGTGTGGTCATTTACATACTGTTGCATCAATTGCTCACAGTACTGATTCTCTCAGTAATAATTACGGTGATTGCAGTTTAAAAATGAAATCAATGAACCAATCAACATTGAAATTGAAACATTAGAAATATAATGAATGAAAATTCAATAAGTAAACTCAACAGTTTGATCAAAGTAAACCCAAGTTTATTTTTAACATTAGATAATTATGTGGTAGCAAGAGTTTTAGATTAATGCTATGGATTGGTAAAGTGATAGCAGTTTTTCAATGCCTCCATTAAAGTTTCCTGGCATAAATTTCATTTTTTATTTTCATATTTGTATGCTATGTCTCTTTGCATTGAGTAAAACTGGGCGACCTCACTAAAACAGCAACAAACAAAATACTAATTTAGCAAGTTATTTGATAGTTTGTAATAAAAATTAACTTTATGTGAAAATCATGTCAAATGTAGAATTATTTGTTATGTTATTGAGTGATAAAATAAAACATACTTATTTTCAGGAAGATTACTTTATTAAAGTAACTCTCATTCCAGCGGGACATTGCCCTGGATCTGTAATGTAAGAGAATTTATTTTGTTTTGTTTTTTTATTTTAAAAAATTGTGTAAGTTTAATGTTAGATCTATTTAATTTTTTTTTCTAATTAATTCAGGTTAACTGATAAAAAAGTATATCAACAAGCCAACCATTTTCTGTGCCAAAGAGAATTTTTAAAAAAATCTTTCTTTTAATAATGCTAGTGCAGAAAATGTAGTATGGTATTATTTTAAATAAAACATAACATGTTTCAAACTTTAAAGAAATGTTTCCATGATTCAAACGCAAATTTTTCAATACAGTTTGAAATATTTTTTCATAAAAAAAATAATAAATTGAAGTACTATCCCAAGTCCAACTGATATAGATTGTCTTGGCTTCCAGCACTTTATAGTAATTAAAATTGTGTTGTATTTGAAGGTTTTTGTTTGAGGGACCTAAAAGTACATCCTTATATACTGGTGACTTCCGCTGGGAGATCAATCAAGCATCAAAGATTCCTGCATTTAGATGCGGAGACAGGTGGGGCGATAATAATATGATTGGTAATGACATTGAGCTGTCTAGATTAAACTACCTTAACCAAGGGTTGGCAAACTTTTTTTGACAAGGGCTAGTTGGTGATCTTGCCAGACAGATTGTGCCAAACTCAATTGTATAATGGGAATATCTCACAAATTTATTTTTGATAAAAGTGAATTAAACATTTAAAACATGTAAGACACACTTTTTTTCCCTTGTCCCAATGTGAAGTAATAATAATAAAAGAAATTGTGCTTTTCTGACATTCAGAAACAGATGACACTAATTTAATGGAGACCCTAAATAAATCTTAGGTGAAAAAATTTTTTAATTGCTCTATAGTCTTTCTCTTATCATCGAGAAGCTGATGCTTTTCTGACACAATGACATTTAGTTGAGGCTTAAAATTAGGAGGACTTATAACTTCTTATTTAAATGGCAGAGGTTTGGTAGGATAAAACTGACATTTTTTAAAAGAATAATTATAGACAGAATATTCTGTTGCATTCTTCTTTTATGCTCTGCCAATACTGAAAACAAATTTAGACTTAACAAACCTAGGGTAATTATGGGATGGTAGATGTCAAACATATTAACTGTGAAAGAGGGTAGCTTCTATGTTCCAAATAAATTATCCCTTACATTTAGCAAAAATGTAATAAAATACAGACTAAAAATCTGGCTTATTTTTAGTTCAGAAGCGAATCATACTTTTATTTATGTACTATTGGCAGTTTACCTAATTTTCAATCTTGCTTCTTCAGCCCATGCAGATTAATTTGTTATAAACGACCCCATGCATTACTTTATTTTGCTATTTAACAAATCTTTCATCCAGGTTAAAGGCAATTGACACCATGTATGTGGATACAACATTCTGTATTCCTGAAGCCTACCACATCCCAACCAGGAGTGAATGTCTTGCTGCAGCTGTCACATTAGTCTCAGAATGGATCAAATCTTCTGTTTTACATGTTGTCAATATATCATGTCCTGCAAAGTATGGCTACGAAAATTTCTTGGCTTCACTCGCTCAAAAGATTGGCAGCAAGGTAATTGATTGAGATAAAATGGATAGTTATTGGAGGGGTTTTTGGCACCTCTACTACTCAAAGTACCATGAGAAAATGTATAGTAAGGGACCATCCATATATTATGTATGCAGTGGGGGGGGGAGAGAGGGTGTTATTGATTTTGGAGATTTTGTGTAAGGGTGGGGGGGGGGGCTCATCAGGAAATTTGAAGACCTAAATTTGTGCACAAAAACTGCTACCAGTACCTAATTATCTGTGAAATCCATGATATTTAATTATAGTCTTGCTAATTTGATAAATCCTATAAAAATATCACATTTTCTATTATTACTATCTCAATTTACTTATAACATATAGAGAGCATTTTTGCTAGACCTATTTGCATATGAATGGTAGCGATTGCCCATTATGTGCAGAATAATTGGTGCAACCCTATATTTTATATTTAATTTTAAAATAATTATTTACGGGAGCGGACCTGGAGCCAGTGGTGTTACTAGGGGTATGGATTGTTCGGGGCAACACCCTCACAGTAAAATTGAAGATTTTAAAGATTGAGTTTCATAACAGAACTCCAGAGCAGGGTGCCACCAGAGTCCAGTGCAGTGGCATAATGGAAGACATTATATTACCAGGCTGCTATATATATATGTACTACTACTGGTGCTATTAGTGCATTTTGGAAATAACAAACCTAGAAATAGGGCTGTCCCTGGCATAAGCACTAAATCACCCTGAATCTGATCATTAAAAATTTTGTTTTAATACATTCAATATATATGGATTCGTTTTGGCGCATACCTGGGAAAAGTGCTTTTTCCACCTGCAACTCATTAAATCATCAATGAAGGCTTTGTAAAAAGTAATATAATTGAAAGATTCCAGCTGGATATTATAATAAAAATTTAAAAAGATGATTCTCACATGATTTATTTTTGGATGTGATAACCCGTTAAATTTTATCATAATAATAAACCTCATGCTATTGTCATTATCATTTATATAATTATTAACAAATTAAAAAGAATTCTTACGGCACATTACACTTACAGTATTTCTTGTTTAGAAATACACAGAGAGATTTTTAATATCATTAACTACTGACCGACATATTCTCATATTCACTACTATAATTCTCATTAAAAAAATCTTTTCATGAATAATCTTGCATTAGGTGTGTTTATAAATACTCATAAATGATGTTTACTGTACCTCCTAATTCTATATTTTGACTATAAGTTATAAGTCATTCTTAACACTGCCGACACACCAAATTTTTTGTCAAAATCCTGCAATAAACCAGGTACAAAATTGTGTAACTGACACCATATGTACGGTCTGCAAACGTTTCAATAGTACTTACCATGATGGAATTTTAGACATCGCAGTTACCGGTATACTGTATACTAGTTGTACACCTGATAGGATCTATATGGAGAATAAATTAATAACAAGATTTGGTATGTTGACTCCATACGGGATAAACCAAATCCACAATTTTACGTAGCTGCCATGTCTTTTTCCTGTTTGGTTTTTTACATTTTACTTCCAATCACTTCCTGTCAATTCTTCTTTACTTTGTATTTGCGCCCACTCCTATTCTTTTCTCTTTTCTTTTTTTCTCTTTTTTTCTCTTTTTTACGTAGGGTTCATGTACCGGTAGATAAGATTATTATGTAAATTTAATCAATACTATTTAAATGTTGTTTTTTTTATACTGATGAAGGCATTTGCCGAAACATTTACTTGTGTATTATGTAAAATTATTATTAAAGCTTAATATATATTGTTATATTGACACAAATTGTTCATGTCTAATTAATCTTTACCATAACCACTAAATCAAAGCACCAGCCAGGTTGTCTTTTGAAATTATATTGTATATATCTATTGAAATTTTTATTTGTAGGTGCATATACCTGAATGGAAGGTTTTACTGTATGAGCAAATACCAGATCTCAAAGGCTACTTTACGTCAGATCCAAAGAAGGCACAGATACACGCCTGCTCATTTAAGGTAGTAATTGATTGACTGCATTCAAGTTGTGTAAAGGAAATATAAGAACAAGGTATGCTAGACTTCAATTCATTGACAATGTCCTGTCAATGAATTCAAGTCTAGCATACCTTGTTCTTATATTTCTTTCATTTAAGATAGGCAGTTTTACAATCTGCTGGATGCAGCTGGGTTAAAGGTTATGACAATGACAATTTTCAAAGGGGGGGTGGTAAAGCAGGTGATTTTTCTTTAGCAGGGGTTTTCGTTAGTTCCTTTTTTAAAAATCTTCTTTTGTGGATAATTTACAGATTAAAATTTTCTTACTAAAATGCAATAAATTTGAAGTAATAAAATGTGGAAAATAATTTTCTTTTAAATTCATTATGCAAAGAAAGTGCAGAAAATATTTTCAAAAATTAGAAAAAAACATACAAATTTAAGTTTTTTCTACATTTAATTTGAATCCTTAGTCTTTAAAGACTATCAAAGAGTTCCTTACTGCCCTTCTGTATAGACTTAGTCTTCATAGAGTATTATAGTGTGCCTCACTGCCCCTCTACATATACTCTTGGGCAGGGACGTGCTGGCACATGGAAACCCGTGACGAAAGAAAGGCCCGGTGGTCCCCCCGCACACCGGAGATTGTAATAATTGCCCAAAAAGGCCCCTGACGAATGCTGACGTCGTGGGCCAGCACGTCCCTGCTCTTGGGCTTAAACTCTTCTTCAAGTCTTTTTTTAAAAAGTAAAAATTTTATTTTTATTTTGCATGTACCGTACAGGGCAATCTAGCTAAAAATTTAGTAAAAATTTCTTTAGTCTTTTTTTAACAGATGTCAAAGATACCTTTAACAAAACTTACAAGCATGTATTTATATGCATCCCTATATAGAAAACCCATTGAAAAATTGATAGAAAGATGGGTGGGTATGGGAATGTCACCTCAACTGGAGTAGAGATATGACAAACTGGCAGGAGTGGAGATATGTCACTATTACTGTCATCACATTTGCTCCCTCCTATGCTATGTATTCATACTCTGTAAATTATTTCTTCTTAATTGAAATTATCAATAAAGATACTGAGAGAATTGGAAAAAGTTGATCAACATGCAAGAATATTTCCCCAAAAAGTTTACGACTGCTAACTTTCCCCATTATGTGTTTAAGAAAATCAAGTCAGCATGGAAAAGTCTCCCCTGTGGTCACCACGCCTCTGATAGAATGCTATTTCAAGTCTTAAATATACGTCTATCAACTATGTGGTTCACATCTCAAAGTTCAAGGTCAAGAAAAGAGGACCTTTTAGTGGCACCCAAGTCAAAAGTAGGAATATATCGTGTTTGCTATTCGATGCATTCTTCTTACAGGTAAGCTGCTCATCATAATTGCACTTAAGACTAGTTAATGTTGATTCCATTAAAAACTGATTGTATTTTCCAGGAGTGTGAGCATGATTGGTCTTGGTGTGGCTGTTGTAGACCCGCTTACTATCTCAATGATTTTATAGTAGAAACTATGATTCTAAGATTAAGGCACTACGATGAGCCTTAAAATAACTAAGGTTTCTGGAGTATTTTTTTTTTAAATTTAAAAAAAGGTGTTGAGGTTCAAAATAACATTATTTGTTGTGGTAACACATAATAAATAAAGATATTTGTTCTGTTAACACAGTAAGCAATAGAATTAGAACGACAATGGCTACCTCAATGTGCCAACCAGAATCTTTTTCTTTTAGAGGCTGCATTAATACCAATTATGCTTTCCTGGTGCTGCCATTTAATTTTATTTGTATATTCATTCTCAAACTAAACTGGGGGCAACATTTATTTTACTGCTCTCTGCGGTGTGGCAAATGTCATCATCAATGCCGCGTGAGAAGAGAAAAGACGAAACTGATGAAGAATCTACAAGTAGTGACAAAAAAGAAGGCAAAGAAATATCCTGTTAGCAAACAAGTTTCTCTCCAAGTATCGAGAGAAGTTGTCTACCTCATGCCAGGCAGGAAGGGTGAATTATTGGCCCATTGTACTTACACACTGTGTGTAGAATTGATTTCTGCGCCCCACACATTGGAACTAGTGATTGCAACCATCATAACGAGACAGATTCATAAACATATGACAGCAGCAGCAAAGATCAGTACACAGCCCTTTGCACATTTCTTTTACAAGAAAAGAAAGGAAAGCCATGAAAAAACAAAGCGATAAGTAACCAGAGGTGAATGTTTGCTAACATTTTATTGTGGATTGCGAAATGTCCTTGTCCCATGGTGACCTGTTACCAAATCCTTGCCTCTTTTAAGTGGCTACCTCAATGTGCCTGTCCCATGGTGACCTGTTACCAAATCCTTGCCTCTTTTAAGTGCCTACCTCAATGTGCCTGTCCCATGGTGACCTGTTACCAAATCCTTGCCTCTTTTAAGTGGCTACCTCAAAGTGCCTGTCCCATGGTGACCTGTTACCAAATCCTTGCCTCTTGTAAGTGGCTACCTCAAAGTGCCTGTCCCATGGTGACCTGTTACCAAATCCTTGCCTCTTTTAAGTGGCTACCTCAAAGTGCCTGTCCCATGGTGACCTGTTACCAAATCCTTGCCTCTTTTAAGTGCCTACCTCAAAGTGCCTGTCCCATGGTGACCTGTTACCAAATCCTTGCCTCTTGTAAGTGCCTACCTCAATGTGCCTGTCCCATGGTGACCTGTTACCAAATCCTTGCCTCTTTTAAGTGCCTACCTCAATGTGCCTGTCCCATGGTGACCTGTTACCAAATCCTTGCCTCTTTTAAGTGCCTACCTCAAAGTGCCTGTCCCATGGTGACCTGTTACCAAATCCTTGCCTCTTGTAAGTGCCTACCTCAATGTGCCTGTCCCATGGTGACCTGTTACCAAATCCTTGCCTCTTTTAAGTGGCTACCTCAATGTGCCTGTCCCATGGTGACCTGTTACCAAATCCTTGCCTCTTGTAAGTGCCTACCTCAAAGTGCCTGTCCCATGGTGACCTGTTACCAAATCCTTGCCTCTTTTAAGTGGCTACCTCAATGTGCCTGTCCCATGGTGACCTGTTACCAAATCCTTGCCTCTTTTAAGTGGCTACCTCAATGTGCCTGTCCCATGGTGACCTGTTACCAAATCCTTGCCTCTTTTAAGTGCCTATTGATGTTTATTTGATAAGATCCATTTCAGGGAGATGTTTTTTTTTAAAATATTTTTGATGTGATTCTTACCTGTATTTCATTTTGGTTTTTCTTAAATTTAAAACGATTATTAATCATATAATTGATAAAATCATCTTCAACTTCCATCATCAGTGAAATTCGAGACCTGGTCAGTTACTTACAGCCAAAGCTTGTGATGCCTAATGTCATACCCGTGTCAGATAAGAGCATAGACATTGTGAGTATATTGAAATATATTGCACTTAGAAATCAAATTTCATAACATATCAAAAAGATGAGCAATGACATTAAATCTAATTTGAACTACTAAAACAATACCAGGTTCAAAGAACATAAAATTTGCTTTAAAAATTCACTGATTTATAAATCATATAAATCAACACATTACATACATTTTTAAAGTATCACTATCAAGTTAAAAGGTGATTATTGTTTCGCTCTGAGCCAAAACAACACAAAACTACACCATTGTGTGACTTTCTTGATGGTTCAGTAAAGAAGTAAACATCATGATCAGCCAACACCCGTTAGATATTGGCAATGTGTGTTAGTTGCTGTAGTAATTCAATGAGTCTCTCCCAGTGTAATCTTTTCTACCTTGACTTACTCTGTAGACTAAATCTTTCATATGTGTATCTGAGACTGGGTTTACATGAAATGTTCAAATGCTTGTTCAATTTGTGTTCAATCTTTATCCCTACTGTTTTGTATCTTTCCAAAGCAACCCCCAACCTTTTAAAAATAAATAATAAAAAACACCTCTCTTTCTTAGTTTTAAAATCTCTTTCACTTATTTTACTGTCAATCATATTTTTTCCCCAAAGCCTGTTTTTTTTAAATAATTAATAATTTTTGATTATCCAGGTTGTAAAGTACTAAGTCTGTCTACTTTTCTGTCCTCTATTTTATCACTATTTATCCTAAAAGCTAATTACTCCCTTAAGCTCATAGATTTCTCCTAACCTTGATACACTCTGTAGATGATAAACTATCATGTCCCTACACATAAATTGTAAAGCTCTGCTGTAGGCAGAGGCATTGGGAGCTCATTTATACAAATCCATGCTTTTGTGACAACTTATTTTAAGATGAAAGTCACACAATTCATCTAAAATATACATGAAAGTCATTCCTCCTCCCCCCCCCCTCTCCTCCCCCCTCCCCGCTTCAACATACATGTACAAATCAGCTTCTAAATTTATTTACAGTCAAACCTGGTTATGTCGACAGCCTCAGGGTTAGCCAAAAAGCATTGAGATAACCAGTGATCGAGATAACCGAAAACCAATATGGCGGCAATAATATTAACATGTGCTTGAAATTTCTTTATGTACATGATGTGCGTGTATAAATGAGAATGTACATGCACATGTTTTTGGAGTTATTGTTTTTTTTCACAACAGCGTTACCGCAATTTGTTTGATGAAGCGATCGGCATGCTATAAAAATATGCATACGTGTTTGCTAACAACACAAAGCATATCTGGGGTGCCACTTTTCCGTATAATTCCGGATTTGTGAGGCAAAATATTTTTCAGTTCCGGATTCGCAAGTTTTTATTTTCTCTCGCTCTGGATTCGCCAGTTCAGTTTATTTAAATACGGATTGTGGGTTTTTAAAAAAGTCAACGCGTAAAAACACATGAAAGCCTATTAAATGACAAGAGGGTTTGCTATAAATAGAACAGGTATTACAACCTCTCTCTTTTGTTTCCAAGCCTCTTGCTCCTTGCTTCTTGCTGTGCCAAGTTAATTGCCCGGAGGATATTGTCATTTCATTTCAATTACTACAGTTTGAAGTAGGCATGTTTCTGTTGTATATAATTTTCAAAAGCCAGCGATTGGTCATGGGGATCGAGATAACCGAGTTTGAGTGGAAAATTTGGCCGCCTTTTGTGCTCCAGATATCAGGGTTCTGCGACATCAAAGAATCGACATAACTGAGGAGAAAATGCTAAGACAAAAAGAGAATTTGGCGGTACCAATTCAAAAACGTCGACATAACAGGCTTTGGGAGTTAACTGAGGTCGAGATAAGTGGGTGAGACTGTATATACAATTAGGACGTACAAGACAATTAAAAGAAGTCACAGTAAACCATGTCAGGTCAATTTTCTCCCCCATTTGGGATTGCCACTGGCTGTTTGGGACAACAAGCATTGAAGTACCTATATTTTATATTTATTCATTTACATTCTTTGGTTCAGCCGAAAGAAAATTAAGTCACAATGTCAGGCACAGAGATGTAAAAAGTAAAAGTCATAGGGTGAACTAAAGATGTCGGACTAAATATTACTAATGCAATATAAGTGCATAATTTGAGCATAAATCTACTTTCACATTCTGCCAAGGCCCCCTCCCCTCTCCCTATACACAAGCATATCCCAAATCTCCTTAATCAACAACCCCTCCATCCCTCCTGAGTGCATGCATAAAATATGGATGACCCCTTACCTGGACCCATCAAATACTAATATGACGAATAATTTAAAAATAGTCAAAACAAAATTATTGTGTTTTTATAAAAATTATTTCCTCTGTTAGGTACAAGCAAGGTTGTCAGGTTTTAAAAATTTTCCACGTAATGACAAGATAGCATCAACTCAAGATGGACTTATTCAGCCACTTGGGGTTCTTCAAAAGTCAAATGTAGAGATGAATATCAATCGTCAAATCCCTAGTAAGTAACAAAAAATAACAAGGGAAGTGTTATAATGATATCATATTGGAGGTCATACTAGTTTCAGTGACGTCATTTGGGTAGGGGTAGGGTGGGGCATTTGCCCCAGTCGGGTGAAAGTAGGGGACCATTTGTGCTGTTTTTTACCAGGAAAGTAGTGGTTTTAGACCTTTGTCCTGAGCTGGAATTATTAATAGTAATAATTTAAGACTAACAATTTTTTTTAAAGTATTAAAGCTGATATCGACTCCAAACAGAAATACATAAAAGTGAAAAAAATATAATTAATCCAAATTGACATCAGGATAATTTTTGTTGCTAAAAAAACGTCTCACTGACAGAAAAGCTCTGTGTGTAATAAAAAATAATTGATTATTTTTCAATACCGATGGTGCCAAAGATTTTTAAATGTCGTTGATTTCAATTTGAAAACTGTAAAATGTCCTGGTTTTATATTTCAATTAAAAAAAAGGGTCACCTTAGGTTAAAGAGATGTAGTAAGTAACTTTATGAAATAGATGAGTAGAAGAAGTGTGACAGGACACAGATGGGTTGAAAAAAATGTGAAATCACTCAGCTGGATCAGAGATTATTATGACCTTGGAAACAGGGTTGTGGAAGCCTTGGTTCAGTGTGGAAGCCTTGGTTAGTGTGGAAGCCTTGGTTCAATGTGGAAGCCTTGGTCAGTAGGGAAGCCTTGGTTCAGCGAACAAGCAACAGAAAAAACAGAATTTTTTAAAAATAGCACTTGCTGAAAAGTTGTACCGGTATCCTAGAGGACAGCAGAAGAATTCTTCTCAATTTACAACTATATGAACATACAAACAGCATATGGCCCATAGACTTACAAACAGTATGTTGTCTATACACTTACAAAAAAGCATATCACCTCCACTATATGGATCACAAAAAAAATATGGCTCTAGATAAAGAAAATTACCATTAATTAATTTGAGAACTACAAATGCAAAAATGAAAGTAAATAACTATTATTGTTAGTCAGAGAAATGTTTATTAGTGCACACAAATCAATATCACAAAAAGAATAAACTAGCTTGAAACTTGAATTTATTCATTTAAATGTTACACAAAGACATTTCAGTATTCTCTGTTTGTTTTTTTAATGATTGAAACATCTGAAAGTTTTTAACTTTTATTTTGGATTTTAAAAAAGTAACTTTGTCCAATTAGTTGCTGGGAAGAAAAACATGAGGAAATATTAAATATTTTTAAAAATAATTCATTAACGTTTTATTTTTTAAAATTTTTTAATGAGTTGGAAATAAACATTTAAAAATTTTAAACTAATTATTGGTACTTGTTTATATTACCGGGTACATAAAGACACCCTCAAACTAGAAGATGTGGTAAGAGCTTCAGAGGAATTGTCAAGTGGCGTACCAGTTGGTTGTTGGTGCCATGGCACACAGAAATTCTTAGTCAAGAAAAGTGTTTACAAATTCATAAAAAAAGATAAAAATTTCTTCTAAATCTTCTCATAATTTATGAAGAAATGATTTCAAAGATTAATTGAAATTTCTTATTCTACACTTTATGCTTAACTTCAAGCTGTTAAATACTATTAATAACTCATACTACTTTAGATACAGTATTGATTTTAACTCATAAAACTAAATCTTCCCACTTTTTGTATTGCTGAAAACTGTATACAATTATTTAATGGACACTATATCATGCAGTGTAAAGTGACCAGAAAGTAATGTGATGGAATAAAAGAGAGTAAATTTGAAGTTTGTGATATAAGTACCCCTATAAGTAGTAAAACACTTAATAGCTTTTATTTGGAAATTAAAATATTTAAAAGAAAATATTTTTTTAAAAACTAAAAGCTAAGTGGCTGAGAACATAAACTTGAATAATTTTTGTCAACTTGGTCCATACATAACTGCAAAATCTAAAAAATTAACAACTACCCGGTGTACATAATATATGGATGGTCTTTTGCACTTAAGTGCTGAAACAGCAAACTGCCTGCTTGGACTCATTAAAACCATAAAGGAAAGAAAAGTTGAAAAAAACTAGTGAACATTGATTTTTAAGTGCATATGAATGACCCTTAAATGATTACTCCATGTAAGTATTAAAATTTATATTTCTTAATATGCACCAAAAGATGATACTGAAAAATATTCTATCTTTTTTTGCAGTGAACTCTTTTGAGCTTGTGTTTGATAGCCCAGAATTGTCTGATGAACAAGAATCATTCAAAACTGAACATACATGCTTTATTTCTGAACTTTGTCAAGGCAGCAAAAAAAATTCAACTTCCAGTGAAGTATCAACTGTTATCAAAGAAAAAAGCTCTCCGTGTTGCAGTGGAGTTCAATATGAACCAGAGCAATTATCTAACCAAATTACTTCTCATAATAACTTTGCAATAATTAATATTGGTAATGATGAACAAACCTCAAGTTCAAGGCTTCAAGAAAAGATTTCTTTACAAGAGCAAGTAGAAGAGCCAAAATGCTTTGATTTATGTTCTGAAAGTGATAGTGACATTACTCCAAGGTTGAATCACCTTGCAGACAGCGCAAATCAAACAAACCAGAAGTATCCAAGTACCGGCAATGTTAATTATTCTGGAAGTAATGTGGGCAAATTCTTGAGTGAACAGTTGGTTCAGTTTGATGTTGACGATAGTAACAAAAGCAATGAAATTAAACATGAATGTGATGAGGTCATTCCGAATTCTCAAGAATCATTGAAAAAAGTATGTTATTTTTGGGGGAAAAATAGACCAAAACGGGAAAATCTAACCCAAAGTGTTAAAATAAAGGGAGGACAAGAAATAAAGGAAGGACAAGAATGCTGTAAAGTTTCTCAAGGAAGTTTAAGTAGCACATCAAGTGAAAAGGTTACGGGGACCAAAAATATCCAATCCACCTCTCTAAAAGACCAATCTCCTTCAGCTATCAGTGTAAAGAACACTTTTAATTTCTCAAAGAGAAAATTGTGCAATACTGAAGATGGTACTTCACTCTCTAAAAAAAGATGACAAATCAAAAGAAACAGAAGTATGAATTTGTTTGACGAATCAGTATCGGTACCTAGTACAACTAATTTTGTGCTTGTTTCAGACATTGATTGTATCAGTGAGCCTGTATTATCTACAGACTATAATGGTGTGCAAGGCAATAAAGGGAATTTTAAATAATTCATTGAACAATTGCATTTGACCAATGAGAATTCACAAGAGCTTCAGCCACCATCCGACAAAATGATTTGTATCAAAATTGATGATGAAACCCTACAAAAAGATGTCACATAGTTTCCAAAGTATGGTAAAACTCTTTAAAATAGCATTTAAATTCAAATATCCATGGGTGGACATCTAAACATGCTCATACTACAGCTTGTAAAAAGATACAAACGCATCATATTCTGATGAAGATAAAAAAATAAGAATCAATTAATTTTTGCTCAATTCACTAATTGAATCTTTTCAGTTTCAGAGTAATGTAAATTTTAAAGCATAGTGAATTGATTATAAAGAATTAAATTATTAGGTGATTTGCCTCCATAAAGTAAAAATGTGAGGCAATCACTTGGATTTTATTATTATTCTTACATATTTTACATATACTTACATATATTTCATAAATCATAAATTACAGTTGACTTTATTTTTATTTAGTTTAAAGTAAAGAGGGGATGGAAAATCTATGGAATGCTTTCATTCACTGAAACGGAAAAAATGTGTTGTTTAAATCAAAGTGCTTTTATACATGTTCAATAAATATTAGTATGGTACATGATAATCATCTATTTTCGTTGTTGTATCAACTATTTTATCTGAAGGCAAAATAATGTCTCGCTTTGACTACTTTGAGTTAGATTATATTTTCTTAAATTTCCAAAAACAAACATTATTTGATGTCTGTCAAATATTTCGTCTCATCTATTACATTATGATGATGGCAAACATTCCAATGGCAATCTTCCTTGGTCACAACATGGACTAGTGTGATTCAAAAACACTAAAAGGTTCATGGTACATTATGGGTTTATTTTCACAGAACTAAAACATCCACTTGGTACATAATGAAGTTGATACATAAAAACATCTGCAGAAGAATATTGTCCTCAGGCAAAAGCCCCATAGCAAATCTATATCAAAATACTATCCGTCTCTGTTGAGCGCTCAATCTCTCTAATTGTTCTCTCCCTCCCTTTTATAACCTGAAATTCCCGCACCCGTTTTTGACAAGAAAAAAGTTCACACTCGCTCACTAAACTCAATTGTCACAAATCACAATGCACACCATACCTCTGATTCCATGACCTTGACAATGTCCAAGTCCAAGACAAAAATATAATAATTTTAAAAGGGGTTTCTGTGAGGTCAGAGTCCATCAAAATAGTAATGTAATGAACATACTGAATAGACAGGGGAAGGATGTTTTGATTTGAGAGATTTCGCATACTTGGTGATGGGGGATTGAGACACTTATTTTTACATATGCATGGAGGGGGTCCAGAAATGAACGGATGCAATATGCTTGGGTGGTAATAAAAATCGGCTTATGTTCCAGTACCGGTAGGTAATAACATGTGGACGGCCGGTTGGTCAGCTTGTTTTTAACAGAAAGATCGGTCAATCCCTTTGGTTTCTCTTTATTGTTAGTAAACTGAATACACCGTGCCAGTCTTGTGTGTATTAAATAAATGACTGTCTAAGGCAGCGGTTCTCAACCTATGGGTCACGACCCCTTTGGGGTCCAAGGGTTGCCTAAGACCATCTGAAAACACATATCCTTACAGCTATGAAGTAGCAACGAAAATAATTGTGCGGCTGAGGGTCGCCACGACACGAGAAACTGTGTTAAAGGGTCGCGGCACTAGAAAGGTTGAGAACCATTGGTCTAAGGGATTATATTTGTGTGTGGAAATGACATTGAACATTAACATTGAGTAACAGATAACAACTCTAGTTTGAAGTCCAATTCAAAGAATTAATTTGATTTAACTGTAAGTGTATGCAGTGCATGGAGACAACATGAAATTGACAACTGAAAAATTTAATGATAAAATTTATTTTACATTTAATGTAATCCCTTCACAAAATTCCATTTTGCCAGAATCAAAGCCATAAAGAAACTTAATCTACAATTATATGGTTGATTCTAATATTTTAATTTAATTGCAACAATGTCAACATGCTTTTAACTTAATTTTAAATTTGCTACCCATACTCAAACTTTCCAATCCATCTAACATGCACAAAAGGCATACTATTGCAAAGGGCTGGCATCTAACAACATGCACAAAAGGCATACTATTGCAAAGGGCTGGCATCTAACAACATGCACAAAAGGCATACTATTGCAAAGGGCTGGCATCTAACAACATGCACGAAGGCAAACTATTGCAAAGGGCTGGCATCTAACAACATGCACAAAGGCATACTATTAATACTATTGCAAAGGGCTGGCATTTAGCTTTCCAATGACAAGATTACCTTTCTATCACTTATAGAGGAAAATTTATGATTTTTTTTTAATCTGCCTTAAGCCTTGTGATGCAAGACTTTTTAGCCCTATAATAATTATATAATCTTGCTTTAAAATTTAGTTTGTAACTTTCTTTTTTTTTAAAGGCGCAGCAATCAAATTATGTGGAGACCCCAACAAAACAATTATGAACAAGATAAAACATAAATTGGAATTAATTTTTTATTTTTTCTTCAATTAATATGATCAGATAAGGATATGGTGTGGTGAATATTGGCATTTATTTGTCAAAACCTATACTTTTTAAATAAAAATAAAATAGCATAACAATTCAATGAATGAATCTATTGAAATACAATTTTCCACAGTAACAGAAAGTAAAGCTGAAATTCAAGTCATTTATTAATTATTATTTCCCATTAAAATAATTAACCTTCACATCAAACAAAAAAATGCAATGAAAAGCCACTGCGGCCGACAAATTGGAGCATTTAAATACTTCATTTTTAACCTGATAAAGCTATTGTAATAAAACTTTTCCACAGAAACAGATAGTGTTCAGCTAAGAGGAACCTTTTATTAATTATTCCACTCGCCAGGTCTCAAATGCTTTGTAGAGCTGCAGTTTTTGTCATGTGCTAAGCCATCTTTGAAGTTCTTTGTACTTGTCAGTAAAGAACAATAACTGGGTGACAAGGGAAGTAATAACCCCAGGTGCAGTGTCCAATAGCTGACATATTGACTAAAATATTTAAGCAATTATTTTTACTATGTTCTGGCATTTATCATATTAAATGATATGTACATTAAATCTAAAGTTTACAAAATTAAAGCCTATTTTGTAACATTAAATTTTGAATTTGCTTTAAGAAGCTCATTTTATTAAGGGCCCATCCATATTCCATATATAGGGGGAATATCGATTTTACGTATAAGTGCCAGGAGGATCTCAGCATAAGGTTTGTACATTTATTAATAATTTCTCCAATAATTATTCTGAAATTTTGACAGTCATTAAATAGCTTATTTTTTTCTCTAATGTAAAAATATCATGCAATATTTTGTAAAGTAACATGGTGATACTGTTTGCTTTGCGTTTTTCCACAAGTAAACTCGCTAGTAGTAAGTTATATTTAGTCCACTGCTTGCCTTTGAGGCCATCCATCGAAGACATCAAGCATTTCGGGGTCATCAATTTGTAGTGAGGTGTGATTTAAATGTAGTGTCTGTGTGTTGAAATTTTTGACAAGGGCGATGGGTACAAATCCGTCAAAAAAGCGAGTGGGCATTTATCAATGGCCCCTTTGTATATTTCACTTACGTGTGACATATTTTCCTTGGCTACGAGAGTGGCTCCTAAATTAATTTTTTTAAAGACGCCCAGCCCAAAATCAGGTTTTCACAAGGCACCCTATGAAAAGTCAAATTCTAACAAATAGGTATCCGGTACACAAAAAAGCAGAGAATTTTTTTTAAATTAAATAATTGGGTAAAAATAAATAAAAACCTTGTAGGTCATCAATGTACTTGCGCCATCTAGTAACTGCAAACAGTAATGACTGAAATGAGTTACTCTTATGCACCATGCCCACTAGATCAGCTAGATATCACTTTACGAGATGTTAATTGTCACATTGGATTAGAAAAGTGGAAATAGAATGATAAAAATTGTAATATTTTGCAGGGCCCCAGTGATGAAGCCGCGATTCTCCAGGGATGAGGCAAAAATACATTTTGGAAACCATTGGGTGACATAAATCAAGCAGGGGAGAAAACATTATACATATTTTTAACTGTGACCTCATAATTGTCTCATAAACCCATTTTGTTTGCTGTGTTTTTTAACTGTTGGGTCCATAAAAGCTAATTTGAATGTACGCAAGGATGTCCAAAAAAGCATCCATGTAAATTTGATTTTTTTTTTTTGGCGTAAATATTATGCCCCTAAGCAGAAAGTGTTTTTTTCCTCATCGATATGGCACCGTTCATTTTTACTACCGGTATATGGATGGTCCCTAAACAGAAAAAGTTTTTTTCCTCATTGATATGGCACCAATAATTTTTACTATGCCCCCATGATTGTCCAAGAACTAGCCCTGCTTCACACATACATGCATACATCTAGTATCCCACTTATTCCATATAATTCCTGGGCATAATTACAAACATAATGGCTTTCTACCACACAGACTATTATGAGAATGTGGTAACAAGCCAAAAATGAAGCCAAATGAAGCTACTGAAACATAGATAAGAGGGTTCAAATTATAGATATAATTTTTATAGCATACAATTACAAGAAATGGCTTGAGGGATTTAATTTTAAAATATAAATAAATTTAAATAAAAGCAAGTTTTAAATTTAAGTAAAAGAAGTGTCATGTAACGGTCAGGTGCAAAAGAAAAATGTCCCTGATTATATACAAACTGGATGAATGTACCACAATAGATTACAAACAGGTCAGAGAACCTTATTTTAGGACCTTAAAATATTGTTCTGATAAACTTAAAAACTAGTATGTTAACAATAGGATTTGCCTTGTACAACATGTGGAAAAAAACGTTTCTCTATTGCACCTTTCAAAGAGCATTGGCTGTAACTGTAAGGATTTTGATTTTGTGATCAAAAGAAAAGGCAATTTTAATGCTACAACAAACATTTTTTTTTTACTTAGATTGTTTTGACACAAGCACAACCCCCCCTCCCTGCCCCCCGACCCCAAATTCCCTAAAAACAGGTAAATAGTACAGTATAAAGTGAAACCAAAAAAAATGTATATATTATTATAAATAATAGTATCAAACACAATATGAGATAACATTACAAATTAAGGAATTTTACAGGTACTTGAAAATCACTCTTAGGATTCACCTTTTAAATTAAAATTAGTGTTTATTGTGAACCAAATTTGGGAAAGAAGATAGATCATACTTGTCAGTCAGCTGAAGAGAAGTTCTCTGAACTAAAACAAAAGAAATGAAACTGTTAGCGAAGAATAAGTATGTATATATTGTTGAAGATTCTAGATAATAAATATTCATTTAAAATGTTACGATAATTTATAAATGTATGCCAAGTAGTTTTATTAATATATGCAATAACTCTCAATTCTAAATCATTTTAAAATCTACAATACAGGCAACACATATAAATTTCTTTAGTTCTTTATATATATTCATAGACATATATACACACAACTTAAATGAAATTTCTTCTTAGCATCTTAAAAAGGTTCTTCATTAAAATAATTTATTGTAGCTATAGAATTTATAACATAATTTAATTCATGTTTATTTTAACAAATTTTGCATAAATTATAAATCACAAAATTAATGTAACAAGTGACCCAGGTATTTTTTAAAAATTAAATAAATATATAAAATGAGGAATGAATATTAAAAACTATAATTCCTGGGTTGTTCAAAATATAACTGACAAAACATAATTTAAAGAAAAGTTATAAGTATTCCCCCCCCCCTCTCCACTCCCTTTTTTTGTTGTTGAAATGTTGATTGCAGCTGACTGTGATCATATGTCTCCAAATCTTAGTTAGAAATGACATTAGCATGAATAATTTTGATGATTGCATAATTAACATATTATCAAGATAAAGTTGGTTCTTCTCTGATGCCACACATTCTACTTAATCAAATTTATTTCAAAATTATTTGAATAAATCCTCCTTTAACCTGAGGCTGACATTTACAAATTTTCTTTTTCAATCATTCTACCATGTTTTTAAAAAAAAAAGACTTCACTGCAAGGATGTTTGAATTCTAGGTTTAATTAAACAGGTAGTAATATGAATAATTCAATTATACAGAGTATGGTACATAGTTATTTATCAATCTTGTTTTAATATCTATGCTTTAAAAAAAAATATCAAGGTTATATCTTTTCCTTATTATGTATTGTTACCATACCATAGTTAGCTTTTAGCATGATTGTCACCAACAGTTGGCAAGTTAGATGTTATCTTCATCTCCTCTCGTTTGATGTGAGTGTATGCTACTACACCTGAAAACAATTAATATAATTCATTTAATTTGTTATCAGTAGGCCTGTATGATGGCATAATATTCATAGGTACCCCTAAACCCTGTTGCACCCTTAAACCTATGCTAATGTACATATGAGAATTATCCTCCCCACTCCACGAAAAAATAAAACCCTGTTGCACCCTTAAACCTATGCTAATGTACACATGAGAATTATCCTCCCCACTCCAAGAAAAAATAAGTAATAATGTATTTATAAAACCATTATTACAATACAATTAAATGAAGTCAATTCACCTTAAACCAGTGTTTCTTAACTTGTGGCGCATGCCCCACAGAGTGACAATTGAAAATTATAGGAGGATATACAGTCTCAGGGACAAAGATGTAGGAATGTGGGAGCAGGCGAGTACCAATGACGAATAAAAGTTAGGGCCATCCATATATAACATATGTACTAAGGGAAAGGGGTTGTTGATTTTTGCGTAGGGCAGGACAAGGGGGAGGGGTGTATTGGATCTTGTTGATATCCGCAACCTAGCATTTTTTGTTATATGTTCCTTTAGCCCAATGCGTGTATTCCAGTATGTTTAAAAATTTTAATTACAGGATGTCCTCAATGGCAGCTTTTCCCAAATGGTGGTCCATAGACTGGCCTTACACTGCCAGTCCACACAACATGAATTTATGGTTAAAAAGAAAGAAAATATAATTAATAAATATGGCACTCGTCTGCCAAACTTAAGAGTTTGGAAACACTACTCTATGGCTGATCTATTAGCAAAATAATAATAATCTTAAACCATCTAAAAGTTAGTAAAAACTTCAAGAGGGAGATAACTCTAATTATTTGGTTGCTATGTTTAGTTTAACAAGAAGAAATAATGTGACTATTGCGAGTTTGGTCTTTTAAATTTTTTTTATCTTAATCTCCGGTCTGATTGATTTATTAAAATTATTTGTATAATCAGATTTATTTAGAAGTTTAAATCTAGTGACGCTTTGCTCTTTATTATATTAACATAGTTCAGTTCTTCAAATGCAGAGATTTTCCAAACTTAACTATTTTTCCCAATTTACATTCCAATGGCAGTTTTGCAGGTTGGACATACATGTGTTTTGGAGTTGGATAATGTGTATTTCCATACAGTTTCTGATTTTTTAGCCACTCTATAATATCTCGTAAATGGTCAACTTTTTTCTTTCTTTCAATCTTCGACATGTTTCATATCAATGATTCTCTGAGTGCAGCATTGTAAATTTAAGTAAATAGAACCAGGAGGATTACATAAAAAATGAGAAATTTTACAAAAAAGGTTTCTAAGTGAAACAAAATCGGAAATCTCAGTGTTTGTGCTTTGTTTTCTTGCTCGCTTTACACTTGTGGAATCATTAAGCTAAAGAGAACGCCTTGCAGTAAATTATCATGTGGCAAAGAATAGAATCATTATTGGTAGTGAAATAGTCACACATTTTCATTTTTTTAGCTTCATAGTTTAAACAATTTTTATATGCAAATTCTGAACAAATTATGATTGTACATAAAAACTTTCATATTTAAAATATTTGTAAGTAAATTTTATATAGAATTGGTAACACTGCTCTCATATAATAAACTGCAAAAATGTACTCCCATTTTTAAGAGAATATCACTCTCTAAATGAAGAATTCCTAATGATTGTCTTCTTTCATTACTATGGTAAGTTATGAGAGTAGAAGTTCAGCTTTTCTTTCCAAGCTCTTGAGAAGCTTAGGTGTGAAACTACCAAATAGACCTACATAGAATTATTGAAACTGATATTGATGATCATATGGTTGAAAATTACAATAAGTAATCTGGTAATTGATGGCGAAAGCAGAAAACAGCCACTATGATATGGCAATGAAATACCTAGTGAAATTGTACCAAATTTCTACTTCAGATAATATAATTGAAAATTATTCCATATTTAAACTTATTTTGTATCTAAGATTATTTAATTTCATTCAATTTTTTTTTAAATACAAGTATTTTAAACAATTTGGATATCTCATTTTTTAAAGCATGTATAGAAGGGGTCGGTACTTTTCTAGCTGTTACCCCAATATATATTTTTTATGAAAACTATTCCACCTTCAATTTCAAACAGAAGAGTGCCATCCCCAAATGACATCGAGAAATTAGGGTGGGTCAAAAATTCTGGTGATGAGGTTGTGTAATTTTTGTGTGGGGCAAAAAATAGCATCACATAATTTATGGATGGCCCCAAAAAAGACTAAGATAAAACAGTAGGTGACTCTGCAAAAATGAGTTACTGGTATAAGACAAGATATGCCGACATGCTAACTGCCAAGCCACTACTGACCACAACATGTTGGAGGCATTTCTCTATTACACTGGCCAGATGCAGTGTTGCTCTGACAATAGTTTTATCATAACAAGGAACGCTTTTACATATTTCTATTTATGTCTTTTCAACCCACATCATCTCCAATATTTTTTATTTTACTCTTAGTTTGTCGACCCCTGATCTATGGAGATAGAGTAATGCCTCTTTGTTTATGAGAGAGTTTACATCAAACATAGGTTAGGCAGGAGTGTTTTAATAGAGATGAAATGGATAATTTATAATGTAACATACCTCCGACTGTTGTAAAAATGCCAAGTAGCTGTAAAACTTGTATAGGATCATGGAACAAAACATATCCTCCAAATAATGTCATGCAGAATTTAAGATGACCAATCATATTATAACTTTGCAGGATTAAGGAAAACCATGAAATTATTGAAATAAAAGCACGCTGACAAGATAGCATGGATTTTGTACCATACCCAGGGCTTATGCAGATAAAAATTTAACTTTAGTGTTTTTCTAATTTTCATTTGATCTTGTTTTGTTAGTGGAGGAAGGATTTCAGCCGAAACATCTGTTAGTGTCTTGTTTTTAAAGCTTCCACATATTTTGTTCCTAATATTCTCTACACGCAGCTTGAACGTAGTTTTATCTTCCGTGTTACATGTACAGTTGATGCCATTATTAAAATTATTTGAAACACAGGTGTGCTTCTTCAATTCCATTTATCCATGAATGATGATATTTTTTACTGGTGCTTTTTATACTTTTAGTTGATCTGAACAAAACTCCACTGATCTAAGCATCTTAAGAAAGTTTCAATGAAATTTTGTCCTTTATCTGAAATGAATGGAGCTTTTGATGTAATTGAAATAAATAAAGGATACGTTACAGGTGACGTGTTTCCAATAATCCAGAATATTGATAAATTTACAATGAAGGCAATGCAGGCTGACATAAATACTGAGACCTAAAATAAGAAAAGAAACTATGTGCAATCATATGTTTATTTAAGAAAAAATGTAAATATAAAGTTGAGATCCTGGTGGGAAAACCCATGGCCAACTTGGTCTCTGTGATAACAGCTTAACTTAAAATAGTTGAATTATTGTTAAAATTATTTTACTTCTACTTGTTTATACTTAACTTTTCCTGCCTATTTTAATTTTGCATTGAAGTTTTACTACCAATATAAATCTCTTGCTAATGCTTCATTGAATGATATGTTATGAACCTCTGTTTGTTATTCTGGTCACTTTGACTCATTTTCTTCATTAAATTATATTTCAGCAATTTTACAGATTATAATTTTCAAAAATTTTATCATATTTTGAGAGTTTGCAACTTCATTTAATTTAGATTTTAAATGAATAAAAAAACTTTTCATGTTTATTCTGAGAGTTAATTTTGAAAACTGTCAAAATTGCTATGAGGTGGGCAAATAGGGAAATGTTGGATTGCGACATAAGTTATGGATTGATATTAATTAATAAGTCATTCCTTATATGTACTGTGACCTCAAATTGCTCACAAGGATCCACCTTCAGACTAAGCTGTTGAACAATAATGCTCTGCAGCACTCCAAAAATCAGATCTAAAATCAGTTGAATTACCCAATCCAAACCAAAATATATATCACAAACATCCACAATATTATTTTTTTTTAAGTGGCTGTGTTTTGTTTTTTAAAGTGTCACTCTTCTAATTTCTGGAAAAATGTGGATTTAAAGGTTATATGCAGGCTCATCACATACTGAAATTTTTTAAAGTTATGCGGTATACTTCAGCAACAATAACTATTCTGAGTGAAATAAATATGTTCAATGTTTGGATCAATAGATTCTATCATGAATTTTAAAAAATCAATATAAATGTAAATTTAGAGGCAGAGATGTGCCTTGAGTTCTAAGATTCATGCAAAATATTTGTAGCTTGTTCAGCTAATGTAATGTTAAATATTATCTTACTTTTTGGTTGACATTAACTGAAACATTTTTTTTTATTTTCTGTATTTCTATTTTTAATTTCCATGTATAATTTGACATTTATTTGTATACATTTATGAAAATTTTAATTATCATTAGTCACAAAAGTGGGTCTATAAGAAAAAAAAGTATTTACACCCAAGTCAGTTAATTATTTAATTTATTTGACCAAAATACTTGACCAATTGTTCTGCAAGTCTACAGGTTGTATGGCTACCTAGTTCTGATTTTTTAAAAACTAATTGCCTATTTTTCAAGATATTTTACTAAACAATATACAAACTTATTTAGTGTTTGTATGTTAATTTGATTTCAATATTATTTTTTAAAGACACTAAAATATCATAAATCATAATTTGATTTCGTAAGAGAGTCAAGCATTTTAAATTTTACTTAAAACTGAATTTTGCAAAAATATTTATCATGCTGCAAACATAAGCTTGCACTTACCAATGCTTCAAATGGCCAGTTAAAGAAAACCCCATGGAATGCATCAAGTGGTTCAAAAAATGGAATTACAAACAGCAAGAGAAATGCTGACAATGGAGCTTGATAATAAAGTAACTGCATGGAATTCACTTGAAGTTCATGCTGCTTCTCACCTACCCACTGAAAATCAGATAGTTTAAAGTAAATTTGTTGTTATAAAAGTTAAAAATCATTAAATTTATTTGTTGACAGTGTTTGCAAGTCTACAAGATTTCTTAATGAGATATGTGTCCCAGTAATATCTGAAATGGTTTTAAACCTACTCAGTTATAAATATGAAAAACATTTATATCCAGACATATGCATATTGTTCTCGAAAAAATTATGTAGTCCCTTCAATATTTTTGGGGGTATCGTTGTTTTATGAACATAAACTACAATTTGTATATAAATCTTGCGTATATTCCTACACTTACCAGTTAAAAAAAAAATATGGGTATAACGATTTTCAATAATCTTAATATTGTCTCAATAATCAGATCTAATGAGAATGATAATAAAATAAGAGACTTCTTTTACTTTATCATGTCTTCATACCTTTATAATAAAAAATTTTTAAAAAGATATCACACACTTAACTGCCGGGATCTGTTTTTTTTTTTTTTTTTTTTTTTTTTTTTTTTTTTTTTTTTTTTTTTTTTTTTTTTAATATTTTTTATTTTTTTTTTTTTTTTTTTTTTTTTTTTTTTTTTTTTTTATGAAGCTGCTCTTTAATGATAGATCTTCAGAATTTTTTTTTTTTTTAAATTAATTGATAACAATATAATTGAAGTAAATACTATCCTTCGCTTTATATTTGAATTATTCTTTATGACATATAATGTCAACAACAATCTGCTTTTATAGCAGGAGGTTGGCATATTTGTTCCTTAAAAAGTGAAATTGGTAAACAAAAAAAATTAATACCGGGTACATTATAATTTGTCATAAGATAAAATACATACCACTTGATACAATGATGTAATCAAAACTCCAACTGTAGCAAATATAATCCCAATGAGATTAAACTTGACATCATAAACAGAATTTAGAAAGACTCCTATCGTTATAGGTATCTTTAAAAAAGAATTAAAGAAATAAAATCATTACCTCATTTCTTAATTAGTCCTATAAATTTGTAGATCCTAGCTTCCTACTTCAATACCATTAACATAAATATTTAAGAGATCAAGTTTAATAAAACTAAATATAACTCTATCATAATTTCTTATTACATTAGTGATCAGAACAGATACCAAGAACTTAAAAACTTTAGCAGGCTGCAAAGGTACAAGATATAAAATAGGTCATTGGAACTGATAGCTGAAAATTTTAAGGATTTTAATGGAATGGACTATATATGTTTGTAAACTTACTTATTCAGTTGAACTAAAATAAACTTAAACTGCAGCAAATTTGAAATAACTCAGATGACATCCAAATAGCCATAATATTAATATTAGTCTAAAGGTCCGAAAAGTGTCCTAGACCTATTACGGTTATTACTATTAGTATTACTTGTCATATATCATGTATATAATTTTGCTATTTTTTATTATATTAGCCAATATAATGTTTAATGAATTAAAAATGTTGTCCTCATTATGAACTATGATCAAAATCCTAAACTTACCAATGTTAACTTTACATTTCTTGAGAAATGTCTACCGTAAAAGTATGTTTGAATGACAATAATGCACGGTGTAGTCATTGTCTTGATTATCTGGTAAGTACCGACGGTATTAGACTCTAACGACAAATTTGTAAATACTACAAATCCACAAAATGAAAGGGCAAGAGGGAGCATTGAGAGGAATGGAAGACTTTTCGGTTGAAATATATTTGCATGTCGACATATTAGGAGACCAAGTGATGTCACCACAAAATGTATACATGTAAGGGTCATGTTTGGAAAATTATACTTTGTATAAATCCATTTATTCAGCAGAACTATCATGATTGAACTTATAATATTCGCTAATGCCCCTAGAAACACCATTTTCTCTTTTGAGGTAACCATTTTCAACGTAGCCAATGATTCCAAATATGTCTGCTGTAAACATAAGCTAATGCTCTGTTTACGTCGGCTTTAAATAATGGTTACGCCGATTAAAATTAAAGGGCCATTTTGCCAAATAATCGGTATTCAGCTTTTTGTGGCTGATTATTAGGGTTATTGGACTTTTTAAAATGCTGACGATGTTCGATAGTTTTAATAGAATATAATTTTTTTATGGGATTTTATTTTTAAAAATCAAGATTAGGTATGAAGGCCATCAAGACTAATCAATGGTTCCAAATACGTCTGCTGTAAGCATAAGCTAATGCTCTGTTTACTATAAAATGAGTAAAACAAAGTAAGGTTACACCTGAAAAAAAGAAACGCAACAAAACAACGGACATGTCGGCAGAAAGCCTTCGTCAGCGAACAAAACAACAGAAAAAAACGGTATGAAAAAAAAATATAGCACTTAGCTTAGAAGTAGTATCCGTGGGCAGCAAAAGAAATGTCACTTCCCTCCTCCCGCCCATAACTTTCTAATTGTCTAATTGTGTGCTTGTTTCTGTGATTTCGTCGCACAATATCACCACAATTTTTGATCAGCTGTCAACTGTCAATGTTTCATTCAATAGCATGAGATAATGTAGATTGTTGGCTAAAAATCCCTTTGGATGTTTTTTTTTTTTTTTATTTTTTGATATTATCTAGCTCTTATTTTTTTTTATTATTTTTTTTTTTTTTTTTTTTTTTTTTTATAATTCCTTTTTGTTTTTTTTTTTTTTTTTTTTTTTTTTTTTTTTTTTTTTTTTTTTTTTTTTTTTTTTTTTTTTTTTTTTTTTTTTTTTTGTCAACACAGAAATAAGATAGTTAATTTCTTCACCATATTTGGCGTATTGTTAGACAACCGAATGAATATGATTGATAAACTTTTTTTTAGATAATTAAGGACTATTTATTTTTTTTTTTTTTTCTTTTTTTTTTTTTTTTTTTTTTTTTTTTTTTTTTTTTTTTTTGTCAACACAGAAATAAGATAGTTAATTTCTTCATCATATTTGGCGTATTGTTAGACAACCGAATGAATATGATTGATAAACTTTTTTTTAGATAATTAAGGACTATTTAAAAAATGTTCACCCTTAAAAGAACTTAAGTAAAAATAAATGTTAACAAATAATAGTATGTCTTCTACTTCTATTGAGAAGCACTATGGCTAGTTTCCCCTGGGTTCTAATAATCTAGCGTTGACACTTGCATCACGTTAACTTTTGAAGAGATGAGCATGAACCAATGCCCCCGCCCCTTATGTAAGTATGTAGAGAGACCATATAAAGCGTCCAACTTTTGATTTAAATTAAATCGTTCGCATCTTTTACGGTCTTAAAAAGGCGACGTGACAACGAACCCGTACAGCACTAGCTCTCTAATTGCTATTATTTTGTATTATACACTAGCAAATATAGGTTCCCCATGCTTCACTACGATTTGGTGTGGGTGGGGGGGTAGGCTTTAATTAATTTATTTCACAAAAAGGTTTACCTTTTTATGCATATTATCTCCAGCTAACTACGTTAGGGAAATTTTGTAGATGGTGGAGGGTTGTTGGTTTATTGGGTGTCTCAAGCCACCTTTAGTGTTTCTAAATATACTTTAAAAACCAACAGCATAAATGCATTTTCTGTGTCAGAGACTAAATTTCTACCCAATTTTTAAAATAATCTTTTAATTATCCCACATCGTTGGAAAAACATGCCAAACCAATCCCACTGATTTTCTATTCACCTTAGTCCTTAAACCCGCCTAGACTGATAAACCTTATTCCTCTCATAATCTTGTCTCATCGATATAATTAACAATTTATAAATTTTACATTATTAGCTTTTCATTTGCTCAACATCAAAACCTGTAAAAATATAAACTATGTACACAATCAAAAAGAAAACAACAATACTTCTTCTTCTGTCCACATTTACTGAGGAGGCGTTGCGGGTAGGCTATGTAGTTGGCGGATTGCCTCAAGGTGTGAGGCCCAGTGGAACTTCTTATTGTGGATTTTAGGGTGTCCTTGTCTTAACAAAGTTAATCCACAGAAGGCATGGCCTCCGTCTGCCCTAAAACCAGATTGCCTATACTATTATAACTGCAAAGCGGGTTGGTTGACAGACATTCTAACCAGCTGGACAAACTAATTGATTTATTGGTCATTCACTGACAGATTGGGATGACAGAACGATTTATCTTATTTTTCTGGTCCTGGGTGTGGTCTTTCTTGTTTTACCATCTGTTCACCTTAAACATCTCGCATGTGAATATTTTACTCTCTATACTTTTATTCAGAGCTCAGGTTTGACACTGGTAAGCAAGGGTTGGAATAAATACAGCGTTAATAGCCTGGCTTTGGTATTCATCTTTATTTTCCGCGAGTGTCTTAAAAAGCAGTTGTTTTTTTTTCAATGGCAAAACTTGTCCGGCTTGTTGAGTTGTTAATAGAATACTAAATGTACTACAACGATTTGCTAAAACATAGGTCAAAGGATATCGTCTTTGTTTCAAACGATCAAAATCATCAACAACTTCGTCAATGTTAACATTTTTTGCATCTTCTTGAAGGCATGTCAATACCAGCAGATCACTGAGTCGTGTGTCTCCACTTCAATTTCTGAGATGTGTTTTTACTCTTTTTATGCAACTACAAAAATGTTAGCTTTAAACTGATGTCATCGGAAATGTTAGGACATGGTCGATTACTTTCAGAAGCTCTCTAAAACTATGTGGAATACGGCTCAAGCTTGTTTGAAGTTGTTGAATGGTCAACAATGTTACATTTTTTCTGTTAATGATTTCATATCAGACTTTGCAGAAGACAATTTTGTGTGAATAAATGCCAACACACATTTCAGAACACTAGTTAAATGAAAAGCGAGCATCGAGTTCAGAGATGAAATTTTCTTCACAGGCATTGTTAGTTTGAGAATTATTTTTTTAAACGGTTTTTTCTCCTTGTTCTTTCATAGATTCATAGTTTTATTCTTTTTAGTTGGTTTTCTTTTTGGCTATGTTAATTTCTCTTAGGACGGGTAGATTTTTTTTCTTTCCTATTTTCTTTTTTAGTTTAAGCCATTTTCGTAGATCATTTTTTTTTTGTAAATCTAGTAATGAAGATGATTTAGATACTAAATGATTTAGATGATTTAGATACTCCACAGCCCCCTTCCTATGCAAGTGCATTGACTTTTTCTCGACAAACTTTCCTGCGGGCGCCCATGGTTGGTCAGCTCTAGTTTGATAGATGGCACTTAATTATTTAGATGCCACCTAAGTTGACTCTGGTTTGTGGTGAGTAAAATGAGAGGCAGTGTTAGTGATTTTATGTATCTGGATGGAACCAAATTGCTCTATTATTCATCTGTTTGCAATGGTGTTTATTTCGCTACTGACATATATTTCATTACTTTCCCGCCTTTTGCCTCTTAGTCTTAGTAAATCACCAGCTATTTATTGAGAAAGAAATCGAAACTGTCACAAATTTTAAGACAGGACATTGACAATTTTATTTAAAGTTTTAACAAATATTTCCCACATAACCCCCACCCATGGGCGCCCGCAGATAGGGCAAGGGGGGCACTTGCCCTACCCCCCCCCCTGGATTGATTGGATAACAAAAATTTTGACAAAAATAGACCAAAAATGTATTAAAGTAAAGAGAAAATAAAGAGAAAGTAACTAAGCTGATGTCCTGTCCGTTCGTTCACCATACAAATACGCTACAGTAAATTAAAACTATATTAAAACATTGCTAAAAAAATTTTGCCCCCCCATATTAAAGTAAAGAGAAAATAAAGAGAAAGTAACTAAGCTGATGTCCTGTCCGTTCGTTCACCATACAAATACGCTACAGTAAATTAAAACTATATTAAAACATTGCTAAAAAAATTTTGCCCCCCCCCCGGAAAGTAAATCGATTTTTGCCCCCCCCCCTTCCCTAGAAAGTTTTCTGCGGGCGCCCATGCCTCCACCCTCAAAATTCGAGCTGCGTTCTGTCCGAAATGGATGCACAACCGTGTAAAGGAAAAGCAGCGCCCCCTGATATTGAGGTCCCTTCCGAGTAGCACCTTTACATTGCTGTGCATGGATACAGTGGGTTAGTATAGGCCAAAACGTGCCAAAGTGTCCTCGTTTTATAACCATTTTAATTGTTTCTATAGTATAGTAGTTACTTTCCTAGTGTCTCATTTTTATTTTACTTAGTTTACATGTTTTTAATAATTGTAAAGCGCTTAGAGCTTTAAGGTAAGCGCTATATAAAAATGCATAAATAAATAAATAAATACCAAAGTAGATGGATCTATAAAATGTTAAAAAAATTATTTAAATCTAAATATATCCAATTGGGCAACTTTTATAACGTATCTTTGAAGACAGAAGAGTTCTCCTTGTTTTTCCCACAATGGCGTCGTAAATGACAAAAGATTCATGAACTGTAGGCTACCTTTTTTTTTTATCTTGTTCAATTTTGTTAAATGGATATTGTACATGAACAAAAAGACGCTATTTTAGGCCTTTAGTTCCATCAGGTGAAGAGGAAGTTTTAATTTTATAAGCCTTGGCCTTAATTTTACCTTACCAGCCGGCACATGTTTTTATATTGTTGCTTTACTTTTAACTTTTACTTTACTTTTACCCTATGCCCTATACTTATACAGTACTTTACTTTTCCTAATTTAGGCGTGCTAGAAGGCTGGCACATAGTTCACATGTGGGGGAGGGGGGGTGGATTATTTTTATAACATGCTCATCAGTGTCATTAGTCCTCTCCATTTTCCTGTATGCCTGCGAATCCTGGACATTAACAGCCGATCTTGAAAGGAAAATAAAGGTGATGGAGATGAGATGCTTCAGAAGCATTTTTGGCAT